ACATTATAACAGAAGAAACATTGAAATTATTTTAACGTTTTCACTTAAATTTATTTATCGCATCTATTTGTTCAATTTTAACACAAAAATTTGGGCATTTTTTTATTTTTTACTCTGGGGTAATTATTTTCCCCACAATTGTAAATGCAATATGTTTTTTTTCGACAACGACGAATAAAGCTGTGAACAAAGTTTTTGATAATCATAAAACAATTTTTTAGTATTATAACATTTTTATAATTACAGGGATTGTAATGCTTATCAGGTTTTGCTAAAAAAATTAAAACGTTGTGATGTAAAATTTTCCTACATTCTTTAATAATCATCTTGTTGTTATAAAAACACATGTTGCATATTCAATTAAATTTTTAAAAATTTTGCTGCCATACAAGAACCTATGCTTTTTAAATATGTTATATTATAATTTGCATTCTTTATTAAAAATGATAATAATAAAGCAGTTACTGCACTAATTTTATAATAATTTCGTGAAAATGTAATAATAAATATAAAATATTTCATTGAGTTGCATTGTTGTTACATGCGTTATTCTAATTAAAATAATGTGAACGATTTTAAAACTTTCCACCATTTTAATATTCTATATTAAACATTTTGTTAATTCATATCGATGGATTTAAGCAAGCTATATAGTTACATTGCTAATAAAATTACTTTATTTATTATCCGTTGTGTTAAGCGACATTGTACACCTGCACATGCGAAAAATGTAAATTTATATTATGAGGATTTTTAAAATGACAACATATTACAATCATATATAAAGTTGGGAATTAATATAATTTCACAATTTATATAATATACGATATATATATGCATATATATATCTATACTTGCATATATATATACATGCATATGTATAATAACATTTTGTGCACTAGTTCTTTTAAAGGAAAATTGGCGCATTTAAGCAGTTATCTATACGTTAATAGAATTTGTAATTTGTTATATAAAAAATAAAATATTTTTGAAAATAAATAAATTTTTATATAATTTTTTTGACGATAGGACATATAAAGCAAATAACAAATTCATTATAACAACGAATGGTGATAAAGTGTTAAGTGTTAATAAATTTGCTGATTTTATTTATATGATGATATATTAAAAAAAAAAAAAAAAAAAATTATAATTATTTATCTAACATGCTATAAATAGTAAAGGAACATTTTATCAAAAATTGGTATTTCATGTCAAAATTACAATACAATAAAATTTTCAGTAAAACGCAACTTTTGGTTGGAAAATGTTTTAGAATACAGACATACTCAATAATTAATATACATATATGTATATTTAAACATTTTTAATGATTATAAAAATTAATGACGATGCAATTGTAGTAAATAAAAGTGATTTTTTTTTTTTTTTTGCACGAAAATTATAGGAAGAATATTCTTAGTAACATGTTAAATGTTCCTATTTTTGAGATATCTCCTACACAGCTTATTATCACTTGTGTATGCAAATACAATAAGTTCGTCTAAAGAAATAAAGAAAACATATTATTATTGTTAGATGAAGAAGGTAGACCATATTACTAATAATATATGATACTACAGTTCATATTTTCCTAAATGAAGGACAAATGAAACTCAATTAAGGATACCAAAACAATGAGAAATAATAGGCAGAAGCAGCACCCTTTTATTTTTAAAGTTCCTGTGTATGTTTTGTTAATATGGATATGCCAATACTGCATTATTGTTCTTCCGTATATCAATGTACCCAAAAGATTTGTATATATAATTTTTTGCTGATTTTTTTATTTTTTAACTTTTAAATCACTGACATTTCATAGGAAATGTACTTACATATATATATATACATACAGTGAGGAATAAAAATAAAATGATGTGTTCTTTTTTTTAGGAGGTCATAAGCGAATCAGTAGGCCAGAAGTTCGGTTTAGAAGTTATAACAATGGATTTAAGAACTAATAGATCATTAACTCAAGCCGAACTAGAAATTGAACATGGAAGTAAAGGACTAAAAGAAAGTGTACTTGAAAATGAGCACGAACATAATTCAAACACTGAAATGATGGAGTCTACTGAAAATACTAAAACTGGAATAAACAATTCTGAGAAAGAGGCACAAAAAGGTACAGACATAAATAAAGTGACTAATAAAAACGAACCAGAGACAGTTGGAAAAGAATTAGAAATGCCTGATAACAAAAATATCTTAGAAGAAATAAATAAATTAAAAGAACAGCAGAAAAAATTGCAATCATTAGGGTATAAAGTAGAGATTAATATCAATGAATTAAAAGAAATGATTACTACTAATGAAAATCTCAAAAAGGATAATGTTACAGATCAAGCAATATTAAACGAAAATGAGAATATATTTAAAATAAATATTGATAAAATTAAAAATATATTGAAAGAAGTTGAAGTAGAACATAAAGCAAAATTCGATAAAATTAAAGATAAGTTTAAGGGAACTGATATAGTAAGTAAAGAATTCATTGATAGAAATATTGAGCAATTAAAGGAAATTGGGAAAGGACAAATAGCAAAATTTGATCAAATTAAAGATATGTTAAAGGATAGTGATATATTAAGTAAAGAATTCATTGATAAAAATTTCGAAAGTTTAAAGGAAATTGGGAAAGGGCAAATAGCTAAATTCGATCAAATTAAAGATATGTTAAAGGATAGTGATATATTAAGTAAAGAATTCATTGATAGAAATATTGAGCAATTAAAGGAAATTGGGAAAGAGCAAAAAATAAAGTTTGATAAATTTAGAGAAGAATTAGAGGAAAATGATAAAGCACATAAAGAAATATTTGATAAACGTATTGAAGAGTTTATAAAAATGGGGAAAAATATAATATCAAAGGGAGACATGCTAAATCAGAGTACATCATCACTTGACAACATTGTGAGTAGCAATAAAAGTGGATCTAAAGCAATTTTAAAAAATGTGGAATTATATAAAAAAAAATTACTTGACAAAACTAAGAATAATGAAATATTAGAAAAACTAAAATCAGCAAGTAAGGTGATTAATAATATGAAAGATCAAATAGGTAGTTATGTGAAAGATCAAACAGGTAATGCTGTGAAAGGTGAAAAGGGTAGTGATGTGAAAAATGAAAAGGGTAGTGATGTGAAAGATAAAACAGGTAGTGATGTGAAAGATAAAACAGGTAGTGATGTGAAAAATGAAAAGGTTAGTGATGTGAAAAATGAAAAGGGTAGTGATGTGAAAGATAAAACAGGTAGTGATGTGAAAGATCAAACAGGCAGTGATGTGAAAGATAAAACAAGCAGTGATGTGAAAGATGGAAAAAATAAAATTCCTGAAGAGGTTAATGAAATACCAAAGGTGCAATTTATGAAAAAAAGAATTCCGATAAAGAATCCCATAAAGATGATAGACTCGTTTATTGAAAATAAAATATTCAGAATATTTGAATACGTAGATGATTATATGCAGGGTAAAGATATGAATATAAAAGATTTATCGAAATTAAGAATTAAGAAGGAGGGACGAATACTAATTTTACCTACCATATTGTTATGTATTTTATTCTTGGTTTTTATAAATCCAGATACATTATGGCCGTCCTTTGTGCCACTAGCTGTTATAGAAATTCTCATCTATATTTATATTATTATTAAAATTGCAAAATATATTGCTTTAAGTAATAAAAAGAAAGGAGAAAAGGTTACTTTTAAAGATTATATGGATGGCATTAAAAAATGCCTTTAATGATTATGTGGGGAGCATTAAATGTTACTATGTATAAATTATGAAAACAATTAAGATCATTAAATAAAAGAGTTATAAATCCATTATTTCACAAAAACTATTTATATTGTTTAATCTTTTTAAAATATAAATTCTGTTACTTATTTTATACTTTTATTTGTAACATTCTTACTTCATTTTTATGGAGAGTTTTATGAAGTTTGTTGAATATTCTTTCCTTATATTTGTTTCTTTTTTTTTTTTTTTTTGTGGCTAAATTTTCTTTTCGAATCTTCGTTTTGTTTAACATCTCATATGTAATTAAAAAATGAATTTATTCATATTAAGAAAAATTGGAAAAAACTGCGAAATTATGAATCATGAATATTATGATAGCATTTCGCATAAAAATGATAAAACAAATTTCAAATTAAATACAAAATATAAATCTAATTAGTAATATAATTGAAAAAATTGAAGCCGTTATTTTTGACAATTTTTTTAAAGATAAATTTTTTTTTACTGGATGATAGGTTCGAATTTAAAAATTGATTTTTTTTAGTATATATATATATATTATATTTTATGAGAACAAAAAAACAAAGGTTTAGAATTTTAATCTAATTTTTTTAAAGGTAAAAATGTATTGTGAATTTAAAATTTATTATTAAATTTCATGAATATTTCTATTATTATTAGAACAATTTATTCTATTTATTTGGCTACTTATAAAAACTGATGTTTATAAAAATGTAAGATGTCGCAATTTTTACTAATATATTTAATTTCTTTTAATCTTTATTTTGATCTATTTACATAAATCTATTTTAGGTATATTCTACAAAAAAATAATCCTATGGAATTATTTATATCCGCAAAATTAGCAGAGTAAAATTTTGAATTGTTAAACTTATAGAATTAATTATTTTATATTTTTTTTATATATTTGAACTCATTTTGTATGTAAATTATTTGAAAGTAAAATTTTTTTTTTTTTTTTTTTTTTGTAAAACTATTTGTACGAATAATAAATTAGTACATTGTTTGGAAAGAGTTTGTCTTCTTAATCACCACTTAACGTGTTATTATAATAATTATATGTAGATTATATATACAAATATGTGGCAATAACTTGTAGATTTATTTTAATTGTTTAAGATAAAATAAAAAAAAAAAAAAATATAATGAAAAAAAAAAGAACACAATTCTAGCATTACCTTATATGGTTGACAATTTTGAAAACCCAATAAAGAGATATTATTTCCGCAGATAATATGATTGGATTAGGGAAGAACCAAAAGAAAGAAAAACAGAAATGTTTCCTTTTTAAAATAACTTTCATACTTTCCGTTTTTCTTTGGATATATCAGTATGGAAATTATGGGGTATAGATAATGTTCCTAAATATTTTTATTTGATTTCTTGTTTTTATTTTTAAAAATTTAATATTTTTATTTACAGAATAGTGAACTTTTTTGAAAGAATATTATTATATTTTTTTTTTTTTTTTTTTTTTTTCTTCCTTATTTTATAGTGTAAAATTAATAGAACTTTAGATAGGCACACTATAGAAATAATTAAAGAGATAAGAAAAAATCGGTTATTATCCAAACATGAATTGAGTAATACAGAATACGAGGAAAGTGATAATGAACAGCTCCAAAGTAATACTAAAAAAGTTTTATATAAAGAAGAAGGAAATAAATTAGAAAAGGAGGAAGAAAGGAAGAACTCCACCACAAAAAGAGGGAGTAAAGAAAATAATGAAGGTATAAAAAGAAATGACTTAAAAAAGGTGAATAAATTAAAGAGTGAAGAAGCACAAAAAGTTATCCCCCAATCTGGAAAGGCATTAAAGAAAGAAGAATTAGAAAAAGATGACGAAAAAAACGAGAACACATCAAAGAAAAAAGAGGTAAAAAAGGGCGAAGAAAAAAACGAGAATACATCAAAGAAAAAAGAAGTCAAAGACAGTGATGAAAAAAATGTTTATACATCAAAGGAAGAAGTAAAAAATGATGGTGAAGAATGTGATAATGCATTGGAAGGTGAGAATGAAATCGTTAATACATCAAAGGAAGAAGGAATTAAAAATGATGATGAAGAATGTGATAATGCATTGGAAGGTGAAGGCGAAACCGTTCAGATAAATAAGGATGAATTATTAGAACATATCAAAACATTGGTAGAAAAAAAACGTCGAGATCGCTTAAGCGCATGTGATGAAAAATTTGACAGTTCAGAGGATTACTTTAAATTAGGTTGTGAAGATGAATCAATAAATGAAGAAAAAGTCGCCCGAACATATAGTAAATTAAAAAAATACACAGTATCTGGTTGGAAAAAGTTTAAAAAAATTTGGAAAAAGATAGATGTTATAAGTAAATTGACTAATATGTTAGACCTCTTTGTTGAGAAACAAATGTTCAAGGTGAATGCTAAGATAGACGAATATAAAAAAAATCCGAATATGAATAAAAAGACTTTATGGTTGATGAGAATTAGATACAGAATTTTATTCTTTCTAATTCCTCTTATTATTTTTTCAGTCGGAATTTTCGTTTTTAACACGCAATCGGGATTTATATCTTTTCTTGGAGGTATTCTTATTAGTATTGGTATTTCATGGGTTATGCGAGCTATCAAGAAAATGGTAAAATATCAATTTCATAAACAAGGAATAGAAAAGCCTGATACTGCGGATTATATAATTCTCTTGGAGAAATTTTTGATGAAATTTGAATCAGAGGAAGAAGACCCGGGTGAAGAAAATGCAGATGGAGAGAAAGCAGGTGGAGAAAGTGTAGGTGGTGAGAGTGTAGGTGGAGAGAGTGTATGTGGAGAGAATGCAGATGGAGAGAATGCAGATGGAGAGAATGCAGATGGAGAGAATGCAGATGAAGTTAATGCAGATGAAGTTAATGCAGATGGCGAGAATGCAGATGAAGTTAATGCAGATGGAGGGAATGCAGATGGAGAGAATGCAGATGAAGTTAATGCAGATGAAGTTAATGCAGATGGAGAAAATGTAGAGGGGGAATAACCTTAGTATTATAATGTCCTAAAGGGTATTTTCCCTAATTATAATATTTTTTTTTTGGCGTAAACTATATATATTTAATTAATCCTGCACAATTTATTAGAAGCATATATATTTATGCTTAACTTTAATATGAATTATGCATATATTTTCATCCACATAACAATTTGGAAGTATAATTGTAGTAATTTAATGCTTCCATAAAATATATGCTTTTTGTTTGTTTTGCTTTTATTTTTTTGTTATTGTTTTATTTTAAGTTTCTAAATTTATATATGTACAGTCGATGTAAAAAATATTTGACTTCAAGAATCGACAGCATAAATATACATCTATTATTGATATAGATGTATATGTGTGCATATAGACAAATTTATTTACTAAATATTTTCGCATGCATTTTAATTAATTTAGCATGTGAAAATTAAGTAACTTTTTTTTGTTTATAGAATTAATTTATTTGTTCAAGAGTTTATCGTATTTATAATTTGTGTTTTTTTATAATTTTACAAATTGATGATTATTTTGACAATTAAAATTTTCATATATTTGTTTAATATAAAGAACATTAATGCTTCATTCGTTTATCTTTTCAAAAAATAAAATCAATGAAGTGTTATATATGTATTACATATACATATATAATTCTAATTATTATGTTAAAAAAAAAATTAAACATTACTATTAACCTAGATTAATTTGTAAAATACATTATTAAAATTAATTGTTGCAAAAAAATTTATGGAATCACACTTATAATTCGTATTTTAAAAATGTGTCTATTCGCCGTTCAGTAAAATTTGAATTTTTTATGAATTAACCACATTATTATATTAATTTTGAGATTACAATGCAATATCGTTGAAGGAATTTTAATATACCAAGTAGGGCAAATCACATGATGCTGTTACACATTTTATACAGTTGAACATCTAATGATAAATATGCTTAGAATGTGTTCTTGCTTATGTTATTACTACACGGATAGGTTGTTTAACTAAAAACAATCGTTTGCTGAAGCATATGCATCAATATTACATTTTTTTAATTGACAGTAAAGACAAAAATTTTTTTTAAAAAATAATAAAATAAATAAACATACGTTATGTAATTTTGAAAAAATCCTGAACTTTTTATTTATCTTAGTGGGAAAATGTATTAAAAATATATATATATTTATGTACTTTCCTTAATAATACAACTATTTATGCATTTATATACATGTACAAATTTTATTTACTTATTTGTGCGTTGGGTCATTCGTTTGTATTGTTTACTGTTGGTACGAAATAAAAATAAGTGTTTTTAACAACGGGTTAGTAATTATTTTTTAGTTTTAACAACTTTTATTTATCCTCTATGAAAAGATAAGTAAAGAAGGTTCATACTTTTCCTTGTTCATTTATGAAAGTGTCAATTTGTTTGAACTTTTTTTTTTTTTTTTTTATCACTTTTAATAGAAAGTTGAAAAAATAGGGGATTTTGCTTGTGCAATAATCTTAATTAAATAAGAGAAAAAATATGTGAATTTTTATAGATATAGCAATAAAATTAATAGAATGACTATATGAATCTTCTTAGACACGTTCTTGAATAATACGATAGAAATTGAGAGGTTTGAATTTTCATTTCTTTTACTTATATATGTTAAATAAGTATACAAATTCGTTATTTAGTTAACAAAAGGAAGTTTACTATACTTGACAATTGCAAAACATTTTCTAGAATTTAAAAAAAAAAAAAAAAAAAAAATTAATCTTAGGAGAATTCTGCTCTAACATTTTATTACTAAATTATTAGAGGATTTTGTCCTTAAGGCTAATTTTCAATTTTATTTAATTGACATATTTGAATTATTGAATATTTCTTTATCATTTTTGCTTATATTTACAAAGCGTTTTCATATTTAGACTTTATATATCCACGTGTAATAGAAAACATTAGTAGCTTATAAACAATATGAAAAAAAGTATAAAATATATGACGACAACATGCAAATTTTTGAAATTCTCAATATGTTTACATGCATTTAAAAAAAATTAAAGTGTGAGGGTAATCTTGAATCCATTACTTTGCATTAGTACACAGGTGATATTTTTTGTTTTTTTAAGTACATTGTCTTTTATAGGATCATATAAAAACATTAACATAAACTTCTTTAAAAGGTTTAGTAAAAATAAAAAAAATAAGGTTATTTGAATTCATTGTGGTAGCCATTCATGAGATAATGTAGAAATTAAGAAATTATGAATTCTACATATTTTCTCTTTGAATTATAGAATTTAACTTTTATTAGTTTTATATACCCAGCTACATTTGAACGGTGCTTTGAAGTTATTGTGCAAAACTTCACATTCTTTTTATTAGAAAAAATATATTTAGAGTATAGACAAAATGGTATTAACGCGTGTATGATAAAAAAATTTAGCAAATTATTTAATTTTTATTTACTTTACCAATAATATTAAATATTACTAAAACGTTTTTTAATAAAAAAACATATTTTGCAGGATAAGTCAATAACAAAAAATAGAAACAAATAAAACGGTAGCTTATAAATTCAATTACCCATTTCTAAAATGAAGAATATAAAAAAAAAAAAAAAACATTTTTATTATTTTTATGTAACATAATAAAAGCTATATAACGCATATGTACTAATAATTTTATGAAGAATAAATATAAAGATTTTTCAATACATAGATGATAAATGTCCTTAATTATATTTATATATGTTTTAATTAATCTCTTTCATAAATGTGTAATAATTAATGTTCATATATAGAGCATTCTAAAGTTTCTCGTACGTGATTCTGTATGTTATAGTTTTAATTTCATAATAGTTAAATTTATAGTAGTTAGTAATAAGGCAGTTCGATTTATACAAATTGGGTTCTGTGTAAAAGCAAATTTTATGGGGTAAAAGAATATATTTATATACATATCCACACGTGACCTGTTATGCAACTCTCAATTACACTTAATTTGTTTTTGTGAAAACGAAAGAAGAGAAATTTTAAAAATTACTGTCTGTTTAATATTAAATGTAGTGTTTTTTTCATTTTATTTTTCTTCTTATATGCTTACAGATGCTAAATATGTTGAATGAACTAATGATGATATAAAAAAAAAAAAATTGTTATTTCTTTTATTTCATCCATTATTCATTTAGCTATATGCCGTGTTGGAAGATAATTTTATTTATTTTGAGTCAATATTTCCCACTGTTTTTCTTTTATCCATTTTTTAATGAAGGATTCTCTCCATGTGTTAAAGGTGGCATATTTGTTATTTTTCCATTCTTTCCAATTATCATTCTTTATTTTTTTAATTAATTTCTCTTTTTTGTCAGTCCAACTTTCCCATTCTTTATTTTTACTAAAAATTTCGTCTTCCATATTAAGCTCAGGATTTTCATTTTGTTCTGAATTGGAAAGATCCTCATCACTTTGTGTACTTTCTGTATATGCATCTTGGTCATCATTCAACTCATTCATTAACCATTCCAAAAATTTATCGTTACACCAATTGATCCATTTATTTTGTATTAATTTATTCAAACTCAATTTATTTCCATAAATCCAATTTTTCCAATCTCTTTCCATTAGGTCATGCCATTCTGTATTAGCCCAATATTCCCAGTCAAATTCATCCCATTTGGATGATTTTTCCAAAATTTTGTTTTTATACGTTGGACTCAAGTTTCTGTCATAATGTGTCCACTTATCTTGCATTATTTCCAACCATTCATTCCACTCTACATCTTTTTCTTGAATCCATTTGTTTTTTTCATGTTCCAAAGTAGTAACAAAATCTTTCCATTCATCTTCAAACTTCAACATCAAGTTGTTATTCTGTTCTTCTCTCAGATTAGAACCATACACTATTCCATCTTGTTCCGATACGATTGGATTCGTTAATTCATGTATGGAGCGATTTTTTATATGCTGAAGAGACTGAATATGAATAAAAAAAAAAAAAAAAAAATATTTATGACATTTATAAAATATTTTTTCACATAAAGATTTAGATTGAAAAAAAAAGGATTAAAAAAGAAAAGTTATCGGTGTATGTGTGCAATTTCTTTCTTACGGGGGAAATGTTGCTTAAAATGTAAGCAGACGATAAGATAAATAAAGTAATATGTGTCGAAAAAAACATTTTTTTAATTTTATTTATTAATATTTTATAATGTGCATAGCTCTCATTTTTTACAGTTAAATTTTGAGGATAATAGAAATTTAGGATATGTTTAAATATATTTTTGTGAGTTTACCGAAATTTGTTAATTCAGGTTAAAAAGAAAAGAAAATTGTAATTGCTCATCTACATAATGGATTTAATGAAATAGAACATAAGAACAAGTGAAAGCCTAATAGAAATAAAAGGATTTATAATAAGGGTTTAAAAAAAACTAAAGAAAAAGTTAACCATGAAATAGAAAGTGTTCATATTGAGCTATTTTGCGTGCATTTTTACTCCTTGTTCGAAAGAATAATTCTATGTGTTCTTAGATTAATTTTTTTTAAACTCATTTGAGCAACGAACTTTACTTTTATATTATTTCTTCTTTTTTATTATTATTTTTTTTTTAATTTTAATATATATGTATAGTAAATAGTAAACATATCAGTACATTTATCCTCTTTTTTTTTTTTTTTTATAAAATTGACAGTTATACATAACGGTTATAAATGTAATTTAGAAATCCTTTTGATTAATATAATAAAAAAGCAGTTGGAATCATACACTTTAATTTAAAAAGTGTGTCATATTATGGACTAAGAAGCACTTTAAATAAATATTATGAAATTACTTAATTATAAAGTGAAGGTAAATGGAAGTTATTTTAAAAATTGATTCCGTTTTTTCTTCTTTTATAAATTTTTCGATCGCGGAATCTATTATGCATGAGCCTGCTTATTCAGATAAATGTGTTATTATTTTTTTTTAGTGACTTTTGGTTAATTTGCTCTTTTGTGTATTTTATATATTTTATGCATAGAATATTTCTGACGCTTTAAATGAAATAAACACAGTTTAAAATATTTTTCATAATATGAAAGAAAAAAAATGAACAAATTTTAGCTCAAATTATAGGAATTAATGTTACATAAAACACGCGTTTGAGAGAATTTTTTACACTTAAATGATGTTCAATAACGGAAATGGTAACAGGTTTTGTTATAAGAAACTTAAAAGAATTATATCAACATTTATATAGCATTTATTACACTTAATGAAAATTTTTTTTTTTTTATACCCAAATGGGAGTTACATAGTATGTTTCTTTTTTTACACATTCAGGGGGTTAATACACTACTTACCTGGCTAAACTATAATGATAAGACATATATTAATAATACCATTAAGCTAAGTATAGTATGAACGAAATTAATGAAAAAAGGTGTTAAAAAAAAGATAGTAAAAAAAAAAAAAAAAAACGATTTAGTAAGAAAAGCAAAAAATATACATGTTTTTTTAAGTGTATAATTAAAAAAATTTAAATTAAACCCTACCTATGATCATATGTTTTTGCTTAAAAAAGGAACAGTTTTAACAACTTTTTTAAAAATTAATAAGTCACAATTTTTTATGCATTAATTTTATTTTGATTATTCATCAACATATATAAATAACGAATTGCATATAATCCTCATTTTTCAAAATTTTTTGTAAAGTAACGATAATAAATGTTTTACAATTTTATAATTATAGACCTGATGTGTTTTAATCAAAGTGAATCATCATTTTATTTGTTATGAAAAAAAAATATATATGTATTGCTTTATTAACTTATGAAGCAATTTCCAAAAAAAAAGAAAAAAAAACATAATAGAAATAATAAATGGATATAGATGCAATCACAAGGAAAACAAATCTGGTGAAATTGTAAAAACAAAAAAAAAAAAAATCAATAGAGTATTTCACTAATCCTATATTAATCTAATATGTTGTATGCCCAGTATATGGTTATTATCTAATAAATTAAAACTGTGGTCAAGTTGGGAGTATCTTCAATTGAATAATTCTCATTAAACATGCTTCATAAAAATTAAAAAATGTGTAGTAATTAAGACAATCTGTTTTAAAAATACAATTGATCCTGGTGTAACTATGCCTTTTCATTTATGCCGAATTTATTTATTATAAAATTGTTCTTAAGGAAATAGTTTAGTAGAAATTATTGTATATAAAGGAATTTAAATTTATTTAGTGGATATAAAAAGTTTCAAAATTTTTTTTAAAAAGGGTTGTTACGGGTATAACAGATTTTTAATTATGAATTAAACAACAAAATGACATTAAAAAAAATAATTTAAAGATTATTTGATGATATAGAAAACATTTTTGAAATAATAAAATATATTTTTTTAATATTTTTCTAAAAGCATTCATATTTTGCTCAACATTTGATAATGTTTCTTAAATATTTTTGCATTGATATACTGTTGTTGCATGAAAAACAGACAGGTTATTAACTGTTACAGGTAATAAAAGAGAAAATAAAACTTTTATCTCATTATAAATATATGAATTATGGAAAAAAAAATTTTATGTAAAATATGAAAACTTATTTACATATATGATTAATCATTATATTATTAGGAACAATGGTAGCATTCAAAAAAGCAACATTAGTGCGTTTTTTTTGAGAACTACACCAAACTGAAAGAAGTAGTTTTTCAAATAAACATAAAATGGTACGCATATATATATATAACATCTTTGAAACGTTAGAAAAATTCTAGAGATTTTTTTATTTTTTCAAAATTATTAAACTTCAATTTTTTTGTACTTAATATTTGTCATATTTTATATATATTCTGATAGATAAAAAAAAAGGACCAAATTGAAAACATCTACATTTTGAAGAATTATAATTTCGTTAGGTAACCAATTTTAATATTTAAATTGCAACTACTTTTGACATGCGAAAACTTTGACGAATAAATTTTTAACTAAGATAAATGGATTAAATTTAAATAAGGAATTTATAATTTAGTCATGTTTTAAAACAATAAATATTTTCTCTGTGTTACAGCATTGTTTATGTTTTACATTTTTTGATTTATGCAATTTCTTTTTATTTTGTTTGAACTTCAAGTTATAAGAATTATCCTTTAAAATTACGAAATAAAAAAAAAAAAAAAGTGGTTCATTATTTGATTCTTCATAGACTGGATCTACTAAACAAATAAAAATTTTCAACTTTAAGCTAAGAAATTACGTGATTCATTGTAAATATGAATTTTTACTTTTTTTTATTGAAAGTGCATTTATCTACAGCTAACATGTTTAAGAGAAAAAATGGCATATCTACGTATTGTTCCAATGAGAATTAAATTCAATACTCAGAAAACGTACGGAATCTTCTTTCATATTTCAAAATAATAAATGGTTTAATAAAGTAGATATATAAATTAAGTATTTATAAAATGATGTCTTCTGTTTTACATAATTTAAGTATGTAGAGTATTCTATTTTTTATTTGTTTTTATACTTTTTTAGCAAATTAGAAACTTTTATTTTATATATGAATGTTAATAGAAGTAAAAACAATTACATACTAATGTATAATATAAATATAATTCCTAATCACAAATATTTAGATAATTTTAACATTAGTATAATGTAAGAACTAGTATTTCTATATATTATTTTCCTTTATTATTTATATGGGAATTCTTATGTAATGACAGTATTATTTATCATTTTATACAACAATGGCTAAATATAATGGAGACTCAAAGTAATAGAGAATGGGTAGGCCTTTATGAATTTTCAGCCACACATTTGTAACCTAATATTTGAATATTTCATTCCTTTTAAAGGATGAAAATGTATAATGTAAATGAATAATTTATACATGTGTATATATTTGTTATTTCTTATTTTCAGGAGACCCTTTTTAAAAACTTTCTTTCACAGCAGAAATATAAAAAATTTGAAGAAGACACTAAAAAATGTAATAATTGGAATTACTGTAATGACTTAAATATTTCTAATGATAATAGGAAAAATGAAATGATCAATTTTTGTAAAGAAATATCATGTAAATTAATTAACTTGCCAGATATTTTTAAATTGGAAAGTAAGAGCATTGACCGCTGTTCATATTTTACGCATTGGGTGAAAGATAAAATAAGGAAAAAATTTAGCATTCCCTCGAATAAGGCGTAAAAGGGCATCTTCATTTCAAAAATTGTTGATATAGTGCAAGACATTAACAGAAGAGTGTTAGGTACTGCACCATGTGAATGTTTTTTTAGTGGCGAATTCGAACAATGGGTAAAAGAGAAAGATTTGCATGATTTTTTTAAAAATATAGATAAAATTAAAATTGGAATTGAATCAGATATTGATAAACACGATTTGTATTTAAAATACTTAACATATATAAATAGTTTATATGAAGAGGAGAAGGATGAATGTTGTGATAAGTACGATATTTTTAATAGTGATTGTCCAACTTATTTTACATGTAATCCAGATAGAGATACCCCAAATGATCTAATAAAACAAATAAAAAAGCATAGTAAAGCATCGACTCATGGAAGAGAAAATGTGGTCGTACATGCAGAAACGTCTATAGAATCTACAAGATTGGGAAGTGAAAAACATAGAGATAGCCCAGGTGTAGCATTCTTAGTTCAACCAATAACTAGAGCTGATGCACAAAATCAAAACGTTAAACCTGTAAATAATGGCTGGGGTACATTGGGAGGATTTTTATTTTCCCTATTTGGAAGTTCTAGAAGTTCTCAACCAGCTCCTCCTGTACAAGAAAAATTATATCCTCTTACTGTTACCCAAAAAGATGAGGATTGTTCGATTGATATGTCACAAAGTGGTAAACCAGGTTCCTGTAAAAAGGAAGAATTAGATACTGTGGATGAACGTGAAACGAATTTTTTACCACCTGTAAATATTCCAACTGAAAATGCAGATAATATAGTAACTCCAGTTTCATCGAAAATTACAGATTACTCATTTGAATATAGTCATCTTCGCCTTGGGATTTGGGCTATTTTATTATTAGGACTATCCCTTATTTTTTACACATATATTAAAGTAAATACAAAATAGTGATTAAAAGAGTATATGTATTATATGTTTTTACTAATAATAACAAAATAAATATATTGTTTAAACACTACGTGTTATGTTTCTTTTTCAGCACACAAACATTAGATACTTCTTTCGTAAGAAGAAGACAAAGAGAACTAGATGTATGAATAATATTTTTGATGAAGATAATAGTGATGTATCTTTGGATTATTTGAATATATATATGGATAATAGGCGACTGTATTGGATTTACCACTCTTCTTTTGAGTCCTATGACTAATGTCAAGCGAAGCATAAAACTCATTTGAAAATAAACATTTAAATATCTGATAAAAAGTGTTTTTAATAATTCTATATAGTGAAATTATCTACAAAAATAATAAATAAATACACAAAAAGGTGTTGATTATTTCTGTTTCCCACATTATTTTGCTCCATATATAAGATGAATAAACACATGCATTACTTGTTCCAAAGAGGTCTGAATTAAGCAGTGTATTTGGCACGATTTCGGAAATTTTACAGAATATACACATTTGTTAGCTGTTATTTATTTTATCCTTAGAATTATATGATATAAAATTATAGTAAGAAAAGAATTCTTAAGCTTTATTATAATGAAATTACTTCACCATAAAATTATACATTTTTTTTTAATTAATCATAATTTTTAATGATGTCAATTATGATTACACATAAGAAAAATGTATGAATGAGTTTTTTCTTTTTATAAAATGGCTTACATGTTTAAGCAGAATATATATTATATATTTAGAATTATAAGAAGAATTTTTAATGACGTACATGTTCCTATTTTATTAGGAATGAACACTCATACTACATTTGGAATAGTATCTTTTTATTTTTTTATGCGCATTAAATATATTACTGCACAAAATGTTGTTTTACAGAATTTCATTTGTGCCATGATCTATTATTTTTACAGTCAATAAATATTAATACAAGAATTTAATTTTTTATTTCTCTTAATGTGATAGACAATTGTTTTTTTATTTTAACACGTATGCTATTTTTTTAAGTCCAGTTTTAAACAATTTTTTTAAACAACATATATACATGTCTTGTTTGCATAAAATGAACAAAAATAATTGGCATTTTTTGCGCATGTATTTAGAAGTGTTATATGGATTTCTATCTATAATACCTTATTTTATGATCTATTAAATTCTACAAAATTAAAATGTTAATTCAAAAATATAAGTATTTTTATTAATCTATTATGTATGTGCATTTTTTTATTTCTAACTTTAAAAATGTGTACAAAAAATGAAAAATTAAAAGGGGTATATTGCTACATTATTGTGTTATAAAAAAATGTTTATACCAGTACAATTTTATTAAAATATTAATTATGTATTTTCAGGAATAAATATGGTTGCATACTATATACCCTTTCATTCTGAGTTGCACGAAACAAACATGTTAATCAACTTGCGTTAGACACATATCGGAAAATAATTTATATCTCATATATTTACATTTTTGTATTTTTATGTAATATTTTTAAAAATTAGCTATAAATTTTTGAAGAAGTAAGAGTAACATATAACATAAGGAAAATATATTATAAATGAGAGAACTAATTTTTGAGAATATACTGTTTTTTTTAGAATATTAATTAAATATTCCCTCTAATATGTAGGTTTGTCAACGCATAGATTAACTTAAAAATACATATTATGTTAATAACATGGTAGCATTAAATAATTAACGTCGACATGTCTCAATTTCATTTAGTAGACTTGGAAGAATAAAAGTCATCAACTAAAAAATATACAAATTTGTTAGCAAAAACATGTTTAAAATTAGAAGTAAAAATTTTATTCAGAAACAAAAAAAATTACAAACACGAATACAAGGTTAAAATAATTATTATATAATTTTTAAGAGCGTTTTTTTTTTTTTTTTCCCCCATGACAATTAAATATAAGCACGTTTATAACCATGCTTAAATTATTATAATGTGGATATGATACATTGTTTTATATCTCCGATAACACAAGTATACTTAATTTCATTGTGCACGGTAAGTTATGTGAATTCGTTTATTACGTGAATTTGCATTTCGAGGTCCTGAATCTTTTCCTAATCTTTGTGATATATTTTTTTGGTAGACACCATAATTAATTTTTTTTTTCATTGACTTCCTATTCAACCTTGATCCAAAGGGTGTAAACTAATGTATATACAAAGAGTATAAAGCATGTACAAAATAATTGTTTAATAATTGCAACTTGTTAGGAAAAATACATTAAAAACAAAAAAATTAATTATTTGTAGTTTTTAATGTAGTTTCTACTTTATAAAAGATGAAAAATAGGAGAGATATTCCAATAAATGTAAGACCACCTATAGCGATCAAATTAAAGGGGTCAAAACGTACATTATTATATATCAGCATTGATGGTTTATTATTATAATTATCAGTATTTGTAAATCCATTTGATTTCAGACTTAATAGATTAACCTTTTGATCAATTGTTACTGATTTGAACAATTGTTCTGCGCTTTCGGTAGCCGTTTCATGGTTACACTGTAATTTTGATATTAGATTAATTGGGTAATATTGTTTTTCGCATTTGAAATATCCTGAACAGTGATTCTCACAATATTCTCTTGGAATAGTATAGCAAGTACAGCAGTGTTTTATATACTTTTCAAACAGTTTCTTAATTTTCGAAAGATAGTTGCAATATTCTTCATGTTTATCTTTTTCAGGATATATATTAGATAAAGTACTTTCATAACTTTTGAAGTAATATAGCAAATAGATAATTTCTTCCCAATAATCCAAATTATTTTTAAAGTCGTAATAACAGTCATGTATACCCAATTCATTTATAATAGGAAATTGCATTTCTAAAAGTTTAGAAGTGTATGCTGTTTTTTTATCCTTCTCTAAAATTGTATCTAATTTTTTTTTATGTTGATCATGCAACCAATAATTGAAATATAAACAACATTCGTCACGTCTTTCTCTGTTCAATATTCCATATATATTTTTTAAATTTTTTACAATTTGTTTACAAAACGTATTCAACTTTAAATCTTTCATTTCATTATTTCCAATAGTTTCACAAATTCTATGATTAGACAGATTATTCTCATTATTAAATTCATCATATATCTCATAAGACGAAAACGGACTTAAAACGTCTTCCTAAAAATTAAGAAAAAATGATATGTTATGTAAATACATAATTGTGTTCAATTAATAAATTTATCTAATATATAAAATTTGCAGCAGAAAAATTATGTTAAAAGTTAAAAATGACAAGAAAAATTAATATATACAATCTTATTCATTTTATGCAGAAGTTTTTCACTAGATGCAGTTTTAAAACGTTCTCTTTTTTGAGCAGCAGCAGATTCTCCAATATTAGTAGTGTGGATATTTTGCTGGACCCCATTTTGTGGTTGTTCATTATATATTCTTGGTTCTTGTGGACATTTTATTTTAGTTTTTTTTATTATATCTAGGTCACTAGAAATATCAGAGCACTGCCTTTTTAAAAAATTGAACTCTGTCAAATCATCTATAATTTTTGTTTCAAGCATTTCCATCTCACACTTATACAGTGTTGAACATTTTTTCTCCTTTAGTTTTTTGTACAGTTGAAGAATATGCTTCATATATAGACAATAGTTCTTATGTTCATTCTCTTCATCGTTCCACAAATCTTTAATTGTACTATAATATTCTACAAAATCGTGTAATTCTTTTTTTTCCTTCAAAACTTTTTTATCATATACTCTTTTTATATAAAAACGTTCTTTATTGGCACTATAACATTGAGTTTCAAATAAAGTTTTAAATTTATCGAATATTGAGTTTATATCTGAACTTTTAATATTATACTTCACAAATTTTCCATATAGCCAATAGAATAAGAAATCACAACACTTAAAATTATTAATACCTTTCGAACAAAAAATTGGCACGATTTTATCATTCCAAGAACTTGCTATTTCTTCAAGATAACCACATATTTGAATGGCATTGTTATCACGAATAACATTACACTTGATCGTGCTTTTATGACCTTCATAGGATAAATCTATAATATCGTAGAACTTGTACAATTCTGATTTCTCAAAAAATTTAACCTATGAATTAAAAGAAAGAATAACATTTGTAAAAACAAAAATTTCAGAAATATTTATTTTTTCTTATAATACAAGAGAAGCACAAAATTTAAGTAAAATATTATAGAATGTTAAACTAATAAAAAATGAAAAATTACATTTTTGCTCAACAAATTAAAGGCATAATCAACAATGTTTTCTTCACTCATCATAATGCAATAATATTATAAGCTTTGCGATACTATAAGGGTTTGTACATTTAACATAAATGTGTACTATGAAAGGTCTAAATATTTTGGACCTGTGATAATAATAAAACCTAAAATATACATCTTAGTAATAAAATTATTAGGGTACAATCTGTGAAAATGACAAGCGAATTAATATAACAAGAAAAAAATTTTGTAATGAAAATAGTATAACTATATTTCTCATAAATGTTTTTATAATTAATGAATAAATTATTTATGTTTCCTTCAAATGTATACTATTTAATGATATTAATATGTTACACAATACTTCTATTTCTATTATTTTTTTAAAAGGAATATTTATAGACTAGGTTCAAATATTCATATCTACTTTTTGTTTTTTCATTTTAACATTTTGGTTGTATTTAAATATCCACATAAATTTTTTTTATCTATAATTAACAATTGTTTTTGATGTTTTCAAATGCAATTTTACACGTGCTGTATTATATTACATTTATTCTGTCATATTTTACGTTTTCTAACATCATAAAAGAACAAATATTACAAACATTATGAGATAACTAATGAATGAATTAAATATTAGTTGTAATTCTGATGATATTTATATTTCTCTTATATAGAAGAAACATTTTATATAAAAATTATTATTATACTGAGAATTAAATTCACTATTCAGTGAAAGCTGTTCTTTTATATGAAGAAATCCCCTTTTACATATATATCAATTTTACAAAACAATTAAAATAGAAACTGATTCGATTTTACATTAGAATTAATGTAATATACAATGTAATCTTTTAGTATTATTCAAGTGTATAAAAGAAATATATTTGATTTAATGCATAAAAAAAAAAATTTCAAAAAGAAAGCAAACTAATTATATGTGCAGTGTAAAATGAAAGGTTTTAAAAATGCAGTTTATTTGTATAATTTTAAAATGTAGATATGCACACATAATAATTTAAAGCGATTCAATGAATATGTGTTTTGTAGATTAAAAAAAAATATGTTTTATTAATGAGGTGCTATAGCTTCTTTCCGACAACATTTATATTAAAGAGTGAAATTATAATATTCACCCATGTTTTAAGTTATATATTCGATTTAATTTTTGTACACTATTAATTCTGCTACGTAATAATATATTTTTAATAAGTGTAATATTATAAATATAAACAAGATCAAGAAGACACTATATATATTATAATTCGTACATTTTTTCAATTATATTCCTTTGTAAATTTTTATATATAACATAAGTTTACGAAAATTAATAGAAGTAATAAATTTTTGTAATCATAATTATTCTGTTATTTTAATTTTTTTTCATTAAAATGTGTTAAAAGTATAATTATATACATATATAATATGCAATTTAAGATTTTATATATTATTATGTTTTATAAAATAGAGGAAATAAGCGCTTTTTCATGTAATCATTTTTGCACTATTTATTCGATGAATACCATAGCACCATATTTGTTTCATATGGAAACAAAGCAAAATATAGAGCACATTATATTTATTTGTCATGTGAAATAATCAACATGATCTATATTAATTAGAAGAAGGAAAAATATTTGTTTTGTCAGAAGTGTTATATTTATGATGAGCATCTACCAAAAAATTATATATATGTTTACTAATTTAATATATAATTTTTTATTTTCTTCATGTTATAAAATGAGTCTCTTTTGATTATTTTTTTATAATATTTTTCTTATCAATAAATTGTATACTTTGAGTGACACGAATATTAACATATATGTTATTACATATATTTACTGAATGAATAAATATATATTAAATAACGTATTAAAATGAAAAAATATATATGCAAATTTCTATTAGGACTTATATACATTAAAATAGGTTTCTATTAATAATGAATTTCTCGAAAAATACACTAAAACAAAACTTACTCATTATGTATACTACTCCAAGAAAAAAAAAGAAAATAGTATGAAATATATAGACTAAAAAGAAGTATAATTATTTTGGAAAATTTGTATATGCTAAAAGTTATAATTTTCTAAATGGATTACCATTATTTTGTGGATTAAATTCCTTTTTGTTATTATTTTGTTGTAAAAATAAATAACTGTTTAGAGATAAATGTATTATAAAACATATTTTAAAATATAAAATTTGTTCTCTTAAGTATTCATAAATATTTGTAATAACCTCTAAAGAGTATACTCTACATTATTAACACACTTCAGAAAAAGGAGTGAGCTATAAAAAAATTAATTTTAATGTTTTTTATTTCTTTATATAATTTTATAGTTACAAATACACAAATGATTAGTTGAACAGGAGGATTATCACAACATATCGCAAATAGGAAAAATGTTATTTTCTTATTTCACGGGTTCAGTTTCTCAGAAAGGAAAGACATCAGAATATGCTTTGAAACCTAGTGAAGCACTATTTTGACACAATGGTTATAATAAAATGAGATAAATGAAATATAACCCACCTAAAAGGAATACCATAAGTTGATACCTTTTCTCGAAAATAATTCAATGATGTAAAATACTTAAAATGTGTTATAATCATTATTATATAACAAAATGAAAGCGTTTCTTTTTTGATACCTTATTTTATTTATTCCTTTGAAATTAGTGTTATTCTTAAGATATGTGGTCCTATTTATTGAACATTATAATTTTATGATTATTCTCATTGATGATTACATTTATATTATCGAAAAATTATTCACAAAATATAATTTTATATCTATATTACATTGATATTTTGGTTATGAATATAATTTAATCATACCTATATCACTGAATTTTATGTGATCCATGAATATTTCTGCTTTAGAAATAATACATGAGATTTTATTTTATAATTTACAAAATTTTATGACATATATTATTTTAAGCATCATATATGTTTCATAGAAATATAATAATTTTTTATGGTAAATATTATGGGAATATTTAGTTTGAATAGAAAAATACTATTTTAAAATCTTTCTTTCACTTTATAAATATTCTTAAATTTTATTATAAATAATTCATGTCTTATAATTCTTAATTTTTTAATGAAATTATCTTGACTTTTGCATATTTCACAATTTTGTATTAGATATAGAACATTATGTTTTAAGTGTGCATAGCATTATAATTGTGTATTTTATATAAGCTAATATGAAACATGATATATTTTTCCACCATTTATTTTTTCAAACGAAAAATTATGTAAAAATTTGTGTTTTGCTTCATTAAGCATATTGTTAAATGCTTTTTTTCTCTTCCATATTCGTTGACATAACATTAATTCTTATGGAATAAATTATAATTAAAAGAAAAAATTATATACTTCAAATGTTTACCATTATACAATTATATTATTTAAGATAATGTATTATTTAAATTGCACGCAATATTTAATATTAATGAAAAATTTTTACGAATCGTATGAAAAAAGAAAAAAATTAATGCCATGATATCTTATATAACAAAATGAATTGAAATTGGATACATTTGTTTTGAAAGCACCGATTCAAATGTAATGTTGTCAAAATAAACAATTTTCCGCTTATAACACAGTTAATGTTAATGATCCTTCGATAATTCGTTCATATAATAGGAATACCCCTTTATATACTTCTTTCCAACTTAGATAGGATGTTATTGTTTTGTATTGCAGAATACTTAATGGAACTTTTTTTTGTTACATGTCCTATGTGTAAAAAGGTCGCAGAAGATGTGGTTATTAATTCAAGGGCACTCATTTATAAAATAATAATAAAGAGCACCCTTTTTAATAATATATAAGAAAGTTTTGTTAGACACTTTACATTACTCATCATTTATAATATTATTATAATTTTGAATATAAAAACAAAAAAAATTGTGCTCTTCTGTAATTCCGATGAGTTTATATTTTATGTATATAAATTAATTGTATGAAGATGTAAACTGATAAATTGTTTGAACCATAAAATGCTTAGGTCATAATGTAGGAGTAATATACATCTATATATGCAATATTAAGCTTTTTAATTGATCCATAATGTTCAAATGGTTAATTAACCATAACATTGAGAAATAGTTACATTATCACGAGGCATAACAAATATGAATTTTAGGATTTCAACAACTCTTATATAAAAATAATAAGGTTTGGCTTTGGTTTATATATATGGCGATAATAATATAGAAATTATTGTAACATTTTTCTTTTCTATTTTTTGCTACATAGATTCTCATAAATTTTATACTTCAGTGAAACATTTAAATTAGGTTTCTGTAAATAAGAAAGAAAATAGAAAAGTTGAGGGGGGGGGAAATATATGTGAATTAGTTATTTATATTAATTAATATTTGTTAATGTTATTTAATAATACATATACACGAAGTCAGCGTGATGTTCAATATAAATTTAGCATAAAACGTGTTTATGAATTTTATTCTATATTTTCCTTTTTCAAATGATACAATCTATGTTGTACTCAATATTTAATAAAAAGGAAGTTTTAATGAAAATTCGCTCATATATTCTTAAAATAAAAGCGCTATATTTTTAGAAATTATTTATTTCAACCACGCAAAAGAATACAACGTTTGTATAAGATTATGTGATGTTCCTATAATTCTTCTGAATAATAGAATTAAAGAGAATATTATTGTAGGATTAAATTTTTATATTTAAGGTGAAAAACACATAATTCAAGTACAAGGAAAAAGGGAGGAGTAAAAATAAAATTTTTTTCTAAATATATCATCTAATATCAGTACTTTACATATGCGTTATGCAGAATACCTTTGTTACAAATGGGATGTTATATTACATATAAAATTATTCGCGTATTATTCGGTTTGAAAAAAATTCAGAATAATTTTACTTTAACAATATGCATGCTTATGTTCTAGGTTCTCAATACAACATTTACAGTGTTATAGGGTACTTATTTTTATAATTTTGTTATTCTTATATAAAAAATGGAAAAAGCATATTAAAATGAATTATTATAATTTAGATGAATTATATTTAAGGACGAAAAAGATTATGTAATAATTATTTAATAATATATATGTTTTAATGTTCATATATTATGTAGTGTAATTTAATATTATAAATAAATATATATATATGTATTGTGCCTCTACTTATTTTCTTGTAAGATATTATTTTAGATATTTTGAGAAAACATCTTTTCCATGCATATATAAATGTAAAGTAATACGTATAATTATTCACTGCACACGGCATTAACTCTATTGTCATATTTTTAATATTTTACGTTTTCTTGTACCTAAGAATATAATAGCTCAATAAAAAAAATAGCATAATATAATACAATATATTAATTTTATGAGCATAATTAATATATATTTCTAATGCGGGGTTGTTTAAGAATAAATTGCACTTAAAAACTCTATTTATATATTTTTATTTTGATAATTATATCAATTAAAATTATATTTTTTAATATTACAAAAAAAAATTTTTAAATGAAAAGAATTAATACTTACAATATATATTATTACTGTATAATTAATTAATAACAACAACGAAACAAACATAAAGAAATATCTATTCATAAAAAGGATAGATAGTTTCCCAATAAATTAATAATATATAAATATGTGAAAATATGTATTTGTATTATTAAAAATTAAGTCGAGTTAACTCATTTAGTATTCTTTCATTGAGAATGTAGGTACTTGAGCTTTCCTCATCCAAGAGAAAACTCTGCTTTGTACTGAATATTTTTCATTTTAATGTCTGCTTCACTATTAAGCGAACTGATCACTATTCATGCATGCATACTCTGATTTAACATTCATGTGCTATATTAATATATATATATATATATTTCTCAAAGGGATTTGTACAGGTGAAATTTAAGTTTCTCAGACAATAAAGTGATATATGTATATGCTTATACAACATGGCACGGTTTTAAAAAATTATATTTTTTTTGAGATACACCATTGTTAAATTTATGTATTTTCATTTTTGCGCACTCTCTTACCACAATAATTTTTCCTTTATAGACTTTATTATCCACTATCCAATTTTTAGTTATGCTATTTTTTAAAGAATTACGTAAGTATATATATTTTATAATTACATCTGAATATAAAAAATAAACTATTAATCCAAATGTTATAAAGAAAATTATGAGTTTATATAAAAATAATATTCCATGTGATATTATGATTCATCAGAATATAGGTTAATTTCACCCTAATATTCGTCTTCCACATTTCGCAACAATTTTCGTTAATTTTTACGATTCTTAGGATATATCTTATATACTTGTGTAGTATATTAAAATAAATACAGAAAAAAAATAAAGAATTAGAAAGAAAAAAAAAATTAAAAAATATAATTCTTCTATGACAATATTTTTTTTTTTTTTTTTTTTTTTACTTTATAAAGATAGTTAAACGTAGAAATTTAATTAATGATTATTAGATAATAGGTTCTACGTGAGAAGGAATCATGATTTATAAAGATGTTACTGTTTATGACTGCTTTTCTGTCACGCTTGGTCATTTTTTACATTATTGTGTTGTGGACTCAAATGACGAATTGACACATGTCAACCTTTTTTCACAATTTATAGAAATCTCCTCAGGAGATGCAGTTGTATGCAATGATTATTCAGGTAATTAAACACAAATTAGAATTAACAATGTATTTTAACTAATTTCGTCTGCATGATGGGAAGGCGATGGATTTCCTTGATCTGCTATATTAAGTATGATAAAACTGCTACCAGAGGGAATTCCATAGCTTATATGTAATTTTTGTTATGTGTTTATTGCATTTTAGTCATTTGATTATTTTTAGTTAAAGCTAAATTTACGGAGTATGGAAATGATGGAATATTTAGATCCCATGGTAAAGACGCTTTTATTGCATATAGCTCGTGTATAGAAAATTTCAATATATATGCCGTATGAAGTCTGTTTATATTATATTTTATTTCTAAATCATTATTATAAATACATATTTTATTTACTATTTCGTGAACTCTTAGTTTTGATGTAGGATGACATATAAATTTTAAATTATAATTAGTATATCAAATTTTGCTATAAAACATAAAAACAACATCGCACAATTCATCATGTTTGGGAACCTATATGTATATTTTTGAATAAAATATTCACTCATTAAATGTGAATTATTGACATCATAATTACGGTTGTAAGCAAACATATATATAACAAGATTTTAGAATACAAAACACCGTAATGGGTATCCTATTAATTGTTACACATATTCATGGTGTTTCTAAATTTTTTTAATTTCTCTAATAATTAGAAAAGTGTTTAAAAAACATAGTTTCCAATTATATAGTTGCAAATATTCATTTATTTTCTTATCAAAGAACGAATTCCAAATTTTAGATGAATTTACATAACAGGTTAAACGTCAAGCATGTGTTTTAAAACATTCTGCTTGATCACCTAAAGAATAGATCAAATGTGAAATTTTCTGTAACGAATTACGCTTTGGATTATATAATAAATTATATAAAGTGATGATGAAATATAAGTTAAAATAAATGAATAAATTATTGATATAGTTGATGATTTATTACATTTTTGTATATATAAAATTTCTGCAAAATAAATATAACAAAAGGGATCAATATACATTATATTTCCCATTTTATGTATTTTCCTTTTCGTATATTTTTACTTATAAAGGGTGTATTTAAGAAGTTCCACGCTAAAATATAACTTACTATGTTTAAAATATTGAGAAAAGAAAGGAATAAAACAGTAATTGATAATAGTTCTATATATTTCATATAATCATCAATTACTCAAAAATGTAGCATATTAATTATATTCATAAGTTATGCAAAACTGTGCTATTTACATCATATATCAAAATAGAATATAGAAATTTTTTTATTTGGTACTCATTTGTTACGTACTTAAAAATGTAAGGAAATTCCATACATGTGTATAGTAAACATTTCGGCATTAATATGGATTCTATTACCTTATAAATGTATGCGAAAAACAAAAAACATATTATTTTGAAAATTAAAAGAAGAATAACTGTTATAATAATGTAAATATGATACCATATCATGAATCATCATTTTGTAAAATTTCATGTATATTGACGTCCTTTGTGCTTGTTAGTGAATGTAGAACAGTATAGTTAATATACACAGGTATATAATTAAATAAACATCGAATAATATATGTGTAAGTAGCTATCTCTTAAAAACATTTTTACAGGTAAAATAGGATATTTATAAATCTATTAATATTTTATTTTTTTTTTTCACAATAATCAATAAAAAAATACTCCTAAATTATTAAAAACACATACATACAGAATTATACAGCAGTGTTATATTTTTGTTCTTCTCATCTTCCTTTTTTTTTATTCATACTATAACATTGCTATTTTGCTTATTAAATAACACTTTTATTGAAGACATTACCTTCGCACTCCATTAAGAATCTTGATTTTTCATAATATTCTTACTAAATAATTATAATAAGTAATACCATAAATCTATTCTAGTGTTATATATCTCAACATATTTTTTTATGTAATACTAACAGTTTTGTGTTTAATGTAGAAAAAGATATAGAACAAAAAGAAAAGATCAACAAATCTTTTGAAATATATAGATTTGAATATCCCAAAATTTTTCCATATAGTGTACCGAAATTATAAAATTAGAGAGCTGACTTATCTGGTTACACGTTGTATACATATTTTAACATGTAAGATAATATTATTTTATAAGAATTGTATAATGTATTCATTATTCCCATTATACGATTTAAAAATTAGTTATTTATAATCCTCAAAACGTTTACATTATTTTGTATCATTTTAGTTCTTAGTTTATTCACTAATCTAATTAGTTATTATTGTATTAAATACTCGTTTAGTTGTATTTTGATTCTTGCAATATTGATATACTCTCACCATAAAACTAATTTTGAATAGTTATAAAAGTATGGGGAAGCATAATTTAACCGACTAGTTACGAAAGAAAGTGCTCTTATATAATTTAGTATAATATATTTATTAAATTTATTTTTTCATATATTTTATGAAGATAAATTGATGTGGTAACTTATGCTTTTATTTATTTTTTTTTGAGAGAGAAATTTTAAGAACATTTAATTATTTTCTTTTCTACATTAAAAATAGAAACATATACTAATATGAATAATAGGTGAAATATCAAATATGGATATTTTACTAAACATATAATGTAGTGTAATAAATAAAGATATTTTTATATACGAAAATATCGTGCAATACACATGTAATACAAAAAAATCGTCAATTAATAAAATATTTTATTTAATTAAATAATAATCATAAAAAGCGCTCTTTTCTTCAATATATAATTAAATTGAACGCCACATGCTTGAAGTTACTTGGATATCTTCATATATTTGAAAATTAGTTAATTTTGCATCGACTAATTAACAAAAGGAACTTATGTAGGATGATAAGTTATACGTGTTCGTCCCCTTTGTTTATTTACATTTGTATTTTTTTGTGCACGGTTGGATAATTTTTTCTGAAAATTAGGTCTAACATCACCCATAGCATAATCTTCAAGGTACTTCTTATCATTATACTTATCCCCTGATTTCATTAAAATTTTTCGGCGCATCATTGACCCAAAGGGTGTAAACTGATAAAAAAAGAAAAATAAAAAACATGTATTTAATCATTTCATGATTTTATATATTTAGGTAAATATTTTATTAGTTATATAACATATTTTACGTTTAAAACAGGTTCTCTTTACTTTATAATATAGGAATAAAATTAATGATACACCCGCTACTAAAAGGGTTGAGGCACCTATTCGAGTAAAAGTGTTATTCATGATATTACTTTCTTCCCTTGAACTAGCTGAAGAACCAGATGTTATACTACTTAAAAACCTAATCATTTTTTGGGAATCAGCGTTCTCCGCTTGATATCCAATAGCTCCAGTTTCACGCACATCTGGTTCTATACATTTACCTGATTCATCATTTCCTAAATTAATTTCGCAAACTTTTTTATTTGTAGTTAACTGTTTTTTATTTTCCAGTAATATATTATTTCCTTTCTGAGAACCTCTATAAGACCAAACTTTTTCCCTTTTTGGGCTCTCATGAGCGTTATTATTAACAGATAAATTATATGGTAATTCAGAACATAGGCTATATTTAAAATCATTTTTGTCTTCCATTTCTGTACATCTAAAATATTTATGTTCGCCTCTATAAATCCAATCATATTTTTCACTATCCGTTATAACATGAGCTTTATCACCATTACATGCTAGTTGTGAGAAGAATTTTTCTGGATTATATACATCATCACATGAAAAATATTCTGAGCAGTTATTATCCATATAAGGACAACAATCTTTTTTATGTTTCGGGTATATAGTTCTCATGTAATTAATATAATTTTCAAATACATTTTTTTTATTCTCTTGTTTTGAACAATAATTACTTACAACATTGTCAAAATTCATAATGTAATCATGCAACATTTTTTCTTCGTTCCAATCTTTCAAAATATTTTGATTACAGTAATAATATGGGCAAGGATATGATATATAATTTTTGTTTATAAATTTTCCTACATTATAAAGTTCATTAATAAGTGTAATGTCGAAATTATTATTCGAATTATTTCTTGTCAGTTTCCATATTTTATCATATATCCAGTAAACAAAATGTAAACATAAACCTTTACGATTCTTACTCGTATTAATTTTGGATAAATTTCTTGCAAGCTTAATACATATATCAGCTAACTCACTATTTTTACCTTGAGAATTATCTATCTTGCTACAATAATTTTTTTTTAATTCATTTTCATCATTCGCATTTTCATTGAACTCATTATATAATTTATATGAATATGAATTATCAAAAATTACTTTCTAAAAATTAAATGAAAAAGGATAATTACATAGTCATTAGTATACCGATTCTGAGGAGTGGAAATTTTGATTATTTTCAAAGACATAAATAATAATATGAAAATAAATATTTTGATATGAATAAAAAAAATACCAAATCTTCTTCAGTTATTGAATGCATTCTATATTATATTTGAGTATAAGGCGTGATAATGAAGTTCGAAAAGATATTGTTGCATATAAACTGTGTACAATATTTCATGCAATAATGAAATTTTTCATAAAAAAAAATGCTTTTATGAAAAATATATTCATAATTTAGTAAATAATTCATTCAATTGCACTACATGGAGGCATGATAATAATGGAGTATAAAGCAAGGATTTATATTTTTGTAATGGCTAAAATTAATGATGCAGTTCATTGCTGCATTAAATTGGAATAGCATAAGACAAGCTTTTAATTTGTAGCATGATTATTTATAATATCAACATATAATTATATAGTGATAAAAATATATATAAAATGTTTTTAATTTATTTGTATAATTATTAAATTTTCCGTGAAATTACATAAATAAATACTGACTAATTTTTTTTATAGAGTTAGTATTGGATAGGCATTGCAACATATAAGAATAAGAAACATATATATTAATAAGAACTGAAATTATTTAGAATATAAGCATTACGGAATGTTAATTTATAAGCTTATTTTTATTCTTTGGTTATATACATCATACCCCTTTAGCAATCTATTGCTAATACGTTCACATCCATTTTAATATATATAAAAATTATATTCTATATTAAGGAATATTTAGTATATAATTAAAATTCATTTCTTGACGTAAAAAAATGTGTGCGTTATGATAATATAACTTAAAATATAATTATACTCTTTGAAATGAATAGCACTTTTTATATATAATTTAGTATAATAATGCAAATCTTGGGAGATTAATGATTTTAAATTTTTTTGAAAAGTAAATGTAACACGTAAGGGATAAATTTTCATATGATAAAACATTGTATGTAAGAACACAAATAGGAGATAATTTATTTTTTATAATAATAAATTTAAAATATTATTTAACTTAAATACATGACAAAAATACGAAAACATTTTTCTAATAATCTATGCAGAATCAAAACATAAAGCATTTTTATAGAAATATACATTGATATTTTTTACACGTATTCAATAAAATATTTATAACAATTTTTTTATATTTTACATTATAAATAATATATTGAACATTATTACGTTATCACATTTTTTCTTTTATATTACAACATATTTATAAGACTGCACATTGTTTCCCTCCATAACATACCGCACGAAAAGTAATATAAATGAAAAAATTGTTTTAGAAAAAAAATAATAAAAAAATGTATTATGAGACTCAAAAAGATTCATTATAATACTGTAATAGTCCCAATTTATAAATATTTGTCAATATATGATACAAAAAATAATAAATCTATTAGATTTTATTCATCTTCAGTATATTGAGACTATGTAAATACATTCTAATAGCCATTTTGGAACAAACATCATATTATTATTATTAATAAATATACAATTTTTCACAAAAAATCATTTATTTATATTTATTTACTTTATTCAAAAAAAAAAAAAAAAAAAATTATATATATAAATAGATATACAATAATTTATGTTACGAGCAAAATAGTTAATAGTACACATATTACTTATGAAAAAATTTTTATTAGTGTTACTTACATATGAAATGATATAATATATATATTTTTATATTTAATGAATATTTTAAATGAATGTATCTTTGGGAATCAAATTAAAAAATTTTATTTATTAAATGATGCTTAAAATATATACTTATTTTATGAATGACGTTTTCTATTTCAAGCATTTTTATTATTAAAGGAGATTTATAAATTCATGTATATTTTACTGGAATTTAAGAATTCATATATATGTAGCTATATCAACTCTGGAAAATATGTTAAGTGTATTTTCTTACATTTATCATTTAAAAATTAACAATTATTTTTTATCTAGGTAGTTAATATTTTTCTTTATCAATAACTATTCGAGACAATGTTCATTTGATGACCATATTATGTTTATAAAATGAATAGTGAATAAATGCAATGAAGAATATAAATATACAGCATTATATGTAAATTATGCTCATTAAATATCCATTTCACTTTTATAAGTTCATTATACATATTTTTGATATTATTCTGCTTATAGTTTCTAATTAAAATTCCTTACTAAAAAGTGTATATTTCATCTATAAAGACACATATGTCATAACTATTTAATTAAATGAAATATACTTTTTAAAGATCATATGTTAACATTCTTAAAAATATGTATATTTTTTCCAAAGACCACATTAATATATATAATTTCACTCAACAATTATTCATTCGTGCCTTATATTTCCCCCATAATTAGCATATATATAGTTATATTAATATTTATTATTTTCTGTAACTATGCCTATTTCATAAATTTATTCTTGTGCTTATATATACATAAAATTATAAAAAAAAAATTCAAAATGGATTATATTTAGGTATTGAAATAATGTGTATTTGTTTTTAATTTTGTATTTGGATTAAATTAATATAAATATATAAAAGTGCCTATTTGTATGCATAGCATAATAAGCAGTGTAAAACCATTTCTTAAGTTTATATAATATGTATTCTTCAAAATTTGTTTATAAATAATTATTAATTATATAAGATAATAATGCACCACCTTTAATTCGTTCCCAAGAACAATTTTATTTTTACTCACAATCATATCAGAAATTATTAAAAAATATATAATTTTAAATAATATTTAACTATTTCATAGAAACATTCTTGCATCATGTATTGTAAAAATATTTATTAAGAAATATATGATTTTTGGTGTTTTACATATACAATTCTTTCATTTATAACTAATACATAATTCTTTTATTGCAACTATCATTAAGCATATAAATTAAAATTCTTATTATTGAACTGTGAATTCATTTGTTTTTTGAATATATTATGTAAAACAAATAAAATTTTTAGTCTACGCTTTTTTACGGGTGTCTTCCCAAGCATGAACTGGAAAAAGTTAATAAACTTCAAAACGAAATACCACTGCGAAAAATATGCAAGCATAAAATTTCATCATTTTTATAAAAAAAATAAATAATAAGGAAATAATGTTAAGATAATATGCAATAAATATATTAAATTAAAAAAACGGCACAAAATCAATTTTAATAGGGTCTATCTGTTTCCAAAAAGGAACAAGTTTTTCCAAAAAATAAAATATGATGAAATAAAATAAAACTATATATTAATCATATTTCTTATTCTATTTACTTTTCCTTTTTTTTTCCTTATTAAAAATATTTTGCAGGTAACAAACTACATAAATAAATGTATACAATATTTTTATACGTGGCTTGATACTACATCTAACAGATAAAAAAAAAAATTCTATCAAACTTGATAGGCTATATGCACTTTTTTCTTAGGGGGAACTTTATTAATTGGTCTTATAGGATTGTTTGATGATTTTTGCTTATATCGCTTTGGGGCACTTTTCTTAAAATCCATATTCATTTCTTCCTTAATATTTTTCTTTTTTGACATTTTGTTAGAAATCCACTTTCCAAATGGGGTAAACTAATATATAGAAGGACGAATTAAAAAATATACAAAGTGTTAAGGTAAACTTTAATAAATAATCATTTAACTTAAATATAACATACATACATATATATGTGTATATATCTTATAATTTAAACATATTAAACCTTATAATAAACAAAGAAAACGAAAATTATTCCTATTAATAACACGGATAACGTAGCAACACGAAAAACACCGGTTTTATATATATCATATGCCTGCTCTGAATCTTCGGATGTTGCCTTATGCGGTATGTTTGTAATACTAACAGCTGTACTTGAATTTTTTCCTTCATCATCTTCAAATATTTTAATTTCTTTTAGTTTATCTTCTGCTACACATTCCCTTTTTTCATCTTTTATTATAGTGTAAGGACAAGTTATGGTATCGTCAATTTCTGCCCAATTTTGTTTTTTACCTATTCCTGAAAATTCATATGCCACTTTACGACCAAATTCGTATCTTCTATTTGACTCTTGAGATTTATCATTTATGAATTTACCTAGCTCACGGTAACCTTGTAAATATGGAGGTATGCCTACAAAAGTTTTTAATTTTTTGGTAATAAATTTCTTATTTTTATCTGAATTACCTTGTGATGTTTTCGCTTCAGGTAACACATAGATGGCAGTATTTTATTATTTATTATTTTAAATACCATCATGCACTCCTTTTTCTTCGGATTCACTAGATAAAATTTTGTCCTCTTCTTCTACGGGCCTAAATATATGTTCAACATTTGGGTGTCCCTTATTAAAGCTATAACAGGATACCAATGCATAACCACTATCCTTAGCTACATAATTCACAATACATTTAGGATTCATAATTCTAGTTATATACTTCCTTCTACTTTTATTGTATCCAATTGGAACCTTACGGAGAACATCCTTATTTTCGGCTTCTGATTTTCCACTGACAGGCCTGCATTTACCATTTGTTTTTAAATGGGCATCACTTCCATTTTTAGATAGTAATTCTTCATGGGGTTTTGCAGCTCCGTTTTTTAATATTGATAAGAGCTCTCCAGGATCATACTTCGAATCACAATTAAAATAATGATCACAAAGATGATGATAATTAACATGACAACAACATTCTTCATCTTTTTTCCTTTTATATAAAACTTTAATATGATTCAAAAAATCATTATACTTATTTTCATTTCCTCTAGTTTTAATATTTTTACTAATTCCATCAAAATTTATAAAATATTCGTATAAATCTTTTTCTTCCTCCCAATTTCCCATATAATCATCATAATTATCGTAACATTCAAATTTGATTTCTTCTCCATTTTTAACATTGTATTGCATATTTTTTAGTTTTTCAACAAATGGAATCAATTCAATATCCTTATAATCATTTTTACACTTTTTTTTTATTTCATTATACATCCAATATTTAAGTAATATGCAATAATTCATGGTTTTCTCTTCATGCTTCTTAAATAATATATTATCTAAATTCCTTGCAAATTTTTTACAAATTGTATCAAATTCAGGACATTTGTTAGTTATTCTTGCATTATCTATAAATTTACCATAATTACTTATATTTTCGTCGCTATTGAAATCAACGTATATCCTGTCTGAGGTTAAGCCATTCAATACTTCATCCTAGAAATTGTGGACAGTGAAACATTTATATAAAGGTATTAATTTATATTCATAAGTGTTTTGGATGAATCTTTAACATAATTTTAACATCAAAATAATTTTTTAACAACAGATTTATAAAATAATTAAAGCAAACCCATCGATTATTAGATTGCGTTGTAGTCATGGTATTTTGAAATATAGAATGTAAGCGAAATAAAAAAGCTATATTATAATTTTCAAACATAGAAAAAAAGATATACACTTAGACTTTTATTTTATGTAGCATTATGCTGATTTAAAAAAATTTATATTTTTAATTATGTCATACATTTTTAAACCTTAATAATTATTAAAATATTCTAATCATATAATTAGAGAATAATTCACATATTTATAATTTCAAGAATATATCATTCATGTTTTGCATATAATATTAGTAATAATGCGAATTAATATATGGAATATTAAAAAATTCTTAAATTGCAATATCCAAATGTTTTTTTTTTTTTTTTTTTTTTTTTGTAATAATGATGTGTAGTGAACAAATATTTTATTTTAATTCACATATATATTAAATTATTAATTGATTATTGATTTAGAGGTTCATAGGATTCAGATTCATGATTTGGATATGTGTTAAATTATTGAATATTTAACCCATTTTCCATTAATTGCACTCAACACAGTATACATTATTTTTTTAATATATTCAAGTATTTTTAAATACATATTTTATCTAACATATAAATAGACACTAAGGAAATAAAATTAAATATTTCAGTTTTTTGCAATAGGTAATTTATGTTTTTTTTATATTTTAAGTGCATGAAGGTACACTTTATATACAATATACATAATTATTAGATCAAAGCTTTATATTAATTATAAAACATTGTGTATATATATTTACTATAATAGCACAATTAGAAAGACATTTTCACAATTTATATTAATTAGATTCCATTTTTATTTTTTGTTTAAGCTGTTATACTTATAAACCTTACATTTTTTTATTTTTGCCACTTTTTTATAACTTTATTTTTAACTAATATTAATTTTTTCTATTTTACTCAATAATAGATATCTTCAGATATACTGACTAAATACTTATGCACTTTATAGTTTAATGCGTCTTAATAATAAAATGGTCAGTTATGATGAATTTATTTATTATAATATATTGATCAATGGGCACAATATAAATATTTACTTTTCATATATAGAAAATTGATATATTTCTAAAAACCATTAACAAGCACACATATTCTTACTATATTTATAAAAAAGTGTATGTAATTTTAATTATGAAATAACTTGTATCATGTGTTATTCACATACGTAAAGAAATATTATTTGGTTATACAAATGTTTTTGACATTTTTAGCTTATAATGAATTGTATGACTATTTTACATAATTCTATTTTTCATATCTGTATAAATAAATATATGTAACTTTTGCATGAATACAGGGGGTAATTGAATATAAGATAATTAGAAAATCTGGATATATCTTGTCACTAAATTGAAAATATGATTACAAGGAGGATACATTTCCACACATAATATATGTAAATATTCTATGTTAATATTTAAAACATTTCGTTCACATTTTAGGCATTTTAAGGTATATTTGAGTGACTTTTTATTTTATAAATTACATGATTTTTGTGGAATGAGTAAATTCAATATTGATTATTAATTATAATATTAATTATTGCTTTTTTCTTTTTTCCTTATTTTTTTTTTTAATTATTATGAATGATTTATTGTCCAAACGAAACATATAATAAATTGCAATTTGTAATGAATGGTCACAAATGAATTGAGCAGTGTATGACAGATAAATGTTTTGATATACACGAGTGATTTAAGGGAGAAATTTATTAAAAAAAAAAAATATAAACATGTTAATGAATATGATGTTATTTTATTCTATTTAATGCACACTTCAAATAACTCAAAACAACATTAAAAAAATAATATCATTATAAAAAATTAACAAAAAAATCATTTTAAAATAAAGCTATTATCCAAAAAATAACAGAGAGTAATATATAAAATTTAATATTTCAAGAAAGTCAATATATTTTATATAATTAGTTAATAATAACATAAGTTAACGCCATATTAAAATGCTTAAAAATTAATGTAAAATGCTTTAAAATAAAGTAATAGTATATAATGGATGAGAATATTATATAAAATTATAGATGATATGAGATTTTTATTACATATATTTTATAATGAGGAAATGTAGTATTCCTATAGATATAATACAGTCGATAATAATTATTATAATATATAATAATATATGTAAATTCTTAAAGTAAAAAATTTAAGATTAATTTTTTGTCATTTTATGTGATTCCCATTTTTAATACAATTTTAAGGTGCAGTATAGCTACATAAGTAATACAGTTATTTTTAAAGCACTTTAAGCAGTATAATTTACATTAAGCAACAACAAAATATTGATGTTACCTATTATAAAAAATATATTTTTTTTTTACTATTTCCTTTATATATTCATTCACGTGTTCCAAATAATTTATGCAAAAAAAGATTATATGAAGTTTAAAAGTATACATGGAGAAAATATTAATGCTTCAAGCATTTGTATTATAATTGTTTTTCATGAAATTTTTAACTAAGCAAAATTACAGAATTCTATTAACTTAAAAACATTATAACTCTGACCAGAAATTAACATATTACTGGTGATGAAATATAATTTCCAATGCAAAATGATATATCATTATACATAATTTTTTTTCGTGTATATATTATTCATTTAAAATTATTAATAATTATTTTTTCATTTTTTTTATTTATATTTTATATAAACATTTTTGTATAATGCTCATTAATACATATTAATTTTTTATTAACTTAATGTTCTTATTCATTAAAGTAAGGCTTGAAGATATATTTTGTTATTTTTGCTTTTCTTTTAACCTATATACCATTACAATACATTCTAAATAATAAACGAGTACTCAGAATGGTATAATGTATAATGTTTTTCCATGTTTATATAATTTGGATTTTATGATTTTGATGCATAATCAAACAACACTCTTTAATCCCTATTTGTTTTATGCATAGTATTTGTTTATCATCCAACTGATTTGGGTATATGTATTCCTAAGGGTGCAAACTTTAATATAAAAAAAATGAAAATAACTCACTTTAATTATAAATACATATTTTCATGCAATAATAAATTATGTTTATAAAAAATATATTATTTAAGAATAGAATGTCCTTGAAATTTATAACTTTATATTTTTATTATAATAATGTAAGGTACAGGAAAAAACATTGAATTTTAATTAATTGATTATAAAGAAGAAAATTAAATTTTTTCTACAAAATTTTTTTACATTAGTTCCCTAATGAGGGTTCATTAATTAAATAATTAACTAATTTTCCATACATGTATATTTAATATGTTATAAATTGTTATTTGCTTTTATTATAATTTTGTTATAATTTTATTATAGATGTTATGTATTTTATATTAAAACTTGTGTAAATTCATTAATCCTCCATAATACAGAGGCATAAAAATCAAATATTAATAATATTCCATTATGTTTATATTTAATCTACACGTACATATATCATACAACGAATTATAAATAATTGAATTCATGTATAAAAATTTTAAATAAATAATTTCACAAATATATTATAAATTTGATATAATTCGAGTATTTTATTTATTGTTATAATTACATAATGTTGTTAACATATATATATGCACATTTTATGATTTTTAATTATGCTATAGTTTTATATTTTTCTATTAATAAGATTAATAAATGTACGTAAGTGCTTTTTTATTTTTGTAAATTATATATTTTGTCTCTCTTTTAACGTTTATGAATAATTAATGATTGTATCATCTTACATTCTCATAAATTATAAAAATTTATAAAATTTAAATACATGAAAAATGTTATACATATAAAGCATGTGAAAATTAATTCGATAAGAACAATTCTGATGAAAAGCGCCTTATATCATTTGAACATGGTATGTCGAAAGTATATTACTCAATATGTTTTGTTTAATATTGTATAATTATTTCTAAAAAATAATTCATAAAAATGAAATGAATGAGATCGAATTATTGATAAATATATACATAAATAAATATTTGCATTGTAGTCAATTTATAATAACTAAAATTATGAGAATAACATCTATGTTCATAAGGTTATTTCTAAGGAATAGAAATTAAAATTATAAATAAATATATAGTATTTAACATTACATTTTCATTTATAAGGATTTAAATAAATTTGTGTAACTATACAAAATAATAAATGGCAAAAATATTGATAAAATTTTGATTATAATAACTTTATTATTAGTAATATTATTTTGAAAATCTTGTAAAATAAGAAGTAATTCTTATATGCTTGTTTATATACATCTTTTTTTAATATATATCATTAATTTATTAAATTTTAAATTAATAGGAAGTTTAAATAAATAGTTTTGTCCACTTTTGTAATACTAAAAATATGTAAATTATATGAATGACTTACATAATTTTCTTTTACTTCCTCTTATATTAAATACAAACATCTCATGTCGATGTACGAGTATTTTTTGATTTTCTTTAAGGAATAGAGAAATATTAAAAAAAATATAAATATTTACTTACAAGGAGTACTATTTAAGAAGTTCTATTTATATTGCATAATTCTATATAATATATACGCTTGAAGTATTTTATATTGTAGTGCAAATAAAAAATTATTTTATATGTAACTTTTGATATTTTTAGGATGTACATCACATAATATATAAATAAGTTTATGAGATGTATTAAGTGTTCTGTAGCAGTAATCATGAAACAATTGGTTTAAATATATTTATAGTTTATGCAAAATGAATGTGATACTGGAAAAAAATATATAATATACAAGCAATATAACTTTCATTATGTCACTAAAAAATTTGCAGCAATAGGTATTTTCCTTTTTTTTCAACATTGCTTTAATTTTTTAAAAAATCAGATTACATATTAATAAATACCAATTATGATTATAATGGATTTTTACTATTTAATATATTCCACGCACAAAATTTTTAATAATCACATTTTAATTTTTTTGGTATACACAAAATTTATAATTTCACCAATTTTACAATTTAATACATTATTGTTTAAACAGGAGTCTTTATATTCAGCATATATTTTTAAAATATATTTATTTATATTTTTTTTACACTATGTAATTCGTAGTTTTAAAAAAATTAAAAATAATTTTTAATTGTTATATTTTTTTATATATAATTCAGATACATTGTTTATATTACAACTAAACTGTTTGTTAGAATTTAATTCATAATAGGTTGTGACATAGAATTATACTCTAGAACAAAATAATGTATACATTTAATATAACTGATTGTGTAAAATAACAAAAAATACAAGAAAATTATAAGGAATGTTTATGTAGTTTACGTCAATAGAACAAAAAAAAGAGCATATATATACAACAAAAAAAATTTTATTATATTTTCGTTTTATATTAAGAAAAAAAAAATTGCAAAGGAAGAAGAGGGAGTCAACAAATTTCACGTAAAAATATACATATATTTACTAAAAAAAAATATTTTATCATATAAATTCTTAAAAGCATTTCACATTATAGGAAAATTTACAAAAAATATAATAAAATAGACATACACACATTTTTGTGTGATGGTTAATAATATTCTGTGAGAAATAGGAATTAAATTTCTTATAAACAAATATTTTAAAATCATATCGTTAATACATTACAATTTGTTAATCCAAATAAGAAGTTAAAAAAAATATTATGAAATTTAAATCAATAGTTCATATATACATAATATTTAATGCATATAACTTAACCAGTTTTTAAAACTCTATATTTATTATATTTAATATTCAAAATAGCTATATGAAAATTGGATGCATCTTTCTTTTTCAGTCGAGGGACCTGACAGTGCCCTTTGTAATTTTTGATTCATCGGCTTTCGTTTCTTCTTTTTTTTTTCTACAAAAAGCATTCTTATGGGCGTAAACTGTAAAGAAAAAGGTGTTTATTAGAATATAACATAATAAACTTAAACATTTAAAAGATAGTAATAACATTTATAACGCTAAAAATCTTAACTTACTTTTATAAGAAATGCCAATAATAAAATAATAACCAATGGTACTAATATCATCAGAATATACTTTTTATATGGAACTCCTTCATTTCCTTCATTTGGTTGATTCGATTCAATAATAACTACGGGACTATCCTCAGATAATGTAACTGTAATGGGAATGAATATGGTACTAAGTGTATTTTATGGCATTCCAAAAATAAATAATTTTTCTCATTCATATGTATGACTTATAAGAGTTATAAACTTTTGCGGAGAAGGTAATACATTTAATGATGTAGTAAAATGAGAATGAACATCTAGTGTAGAAGGCGCCAATTTATGAACAAGTAAATAGGAAATATGATATGAAATAGTGTACTTAATATGGTTTTACTTACCTTTGCCCTCTCTTTGATCAGAATTAACATCACTATTGGAATCAGTAGATTGGCTTTTTACTTGTTCATGATTATTCGCTTGTACATTATATGCATTTGGTTGATGTTGTTCAGATTCAGGGGTACCTTGGTTTTGGTTTCCTGCATGAATATATTAATTAGTATGCATAATTATATCAGAATATCTAGGAGTATCTGCATCAAAATATGAGGTATCATTTAACTAGGTACTCTAGCACTTTAGAAAAATAGAAATGTTAAATATTTTTAGTTCTGTAAAGAGTTCCCTTTAAAAATGAGGAATAATCATTATGACTCACAGAGAAATGCTGTATCTTACCACTATCAACACTATGGGATGTTACATTATTAGGTGCTTTGGAAGCACCAACTTCAGCAGAAGAAGTTATGCCAGAATGTGTAGTATCACTACAGAGTTCTGTTAAAATAATTTCATGATCACTATGTTGCGTCATATTACCTTCACTGTAGGGATTTTGCAAAGTGCTAAGAACTACAGCGTTTTCATCCTGTGTATCACCTTGTTTAGAAGCTTCTTTTAAACCTTTTGCTTGGGGAGTTCCAGCTTCATCTGATTTCCCCTCAAGACTACATGATGAAGAAGGTTTATTTTGACAATCATTTGATTCAGTTTCTCCTTCGTTATCTGAGGCAAATATAAGTTCCATCTCTTTTTGTTGATGTTCATATTTACCACTTTGTTGGCTCAGTTGTGCTAATGTTTTTACTTCTTGAGCCTCATCTGCACTACTATGCAAAGTTGTGTCATGTTGATCCTGGGGCGATACTTGTCCTCTTATTGATCCATCTACTTCAGCATATTCTTTTCCATCATCTCCGGATTGTTGTCCTTCTGAAATACTAATTGTAGGGGGGGCTTCATTACTTTCTTTTTGTGATGCACCTCCTTTTACTTTTGCAGTTTTGCTTTTTTGTCCACTTTCTTCGCTTTGTCCAGGTGATTTTTCTTCTTCAAGTTTAAACTTTGTATCCTGTTGTTCTTGAAGTGCAGGTTTACTAATATCCTCAAGATGTTTGTTACATTTTTCTTTAAAGCTCTTTATTTCATTAGAATCATTTAAATCTAGGCTTAAATGCTTTCTTATATTACATTCATTTAATAAAGCACTTTTTTCGTTTATATATTCATGCACTTTTCTGCATTTTTCTGAATTTTCGTGTACATTATTAACTTCCTCTTTAATATATGCAAGAATTTCTGCATATTTATTCAAACATGTATCAGTATCCAAAGTACCGTTATTTCCATAAATCGAAACAGTTACAGTTCCCATTTTGTATGCATTAATTTTCATTTAGTTTTAATTTTTCATTTCAACAAATAAGTTTAAAAAGTTATTTATGTAGATAGGTAAACATTAATTATAGTAATTTACTATTTCGGAAAATCATATTAAAGTGTCTTGCTTGTTCACATCCAGAACATAGGACAATATGGTCAAATTATATTAATTAGATTATTTGTACATATCAATAGAGTATTTTAAAAAGAATTTATGCATCACTTAAAATAGTAATATTTAAAAAGGCATGATTATCTATGTGTAAAATTGTAAAAATAATTAAATTTGTTGATACAACTTTTAAACACATTATACTTTTACTTTAATAGGCACATTTTAAATACTCACATTGAGTTATATTATTTTCAAATTTAATGATTGAAAATAATATAATTAAGAAAAAACATAGAAGCAACACTAAAAAAGTATTGTACAGCTGTGTTATTTATGGGTGATATGAAGTATACTTTGTAAAACCATCACATATTTGTGTTTCTTTCTTATAATGAACTACATAAACGTTATTTGCTTCTATGTTTACACAGAAATATCTTCTTTATTATCCATGTTTACACAATATACATATGTTATGTCCACATTCATTATTAAGACTAGTTCTGAATTATCTTTCGTACGGATGTAAATTCTTTCATTTTCTCTTCATCTTGGGCATTCTAACTAAGATATCATTATTTAGTTCTTATATTATTTAATTCAATTATAAGCATGAATAGTTTTTGTAATACAGAAAGGTGACATTATACATATAGCAACTATTTTGTATTAAGATGCCAAGTTTATAAATAGTATGATATATATTTTTGTTTTATAGGAAAATTAAATGTTCTTGATTTTTTGGTATATGTAATGAGACACTAAAATACCTAGTAGGAATTTCTTTGTTATATTTTCTGCAACTTATAGTCAACATATTTTAAGGCACATTGTAATAGTTCTATTTATGTACATTTTTGTTATTGTAATATCAATGCAATTAAAAATGTACGCAATATAAGTAGTAATTATTAAAAGAAATATTAAAGTTTATTAATATATTTTTTAAATAATGTTAAGTCATATATGAAAATAGAATAATTATATTTTAAACATTGTAACAACTATGATAAGGAATAATAAATTGTCACAAATATTTCTGAATTACGTGAATATAACCATGCCTATACAAAAATCTATGCGGATAGGAAAACACATAACAAATTATTTAAATGTTCCATTCGTATGTTTATTTAATTTTTTTAATAGATAAATAATTAAAAAAATAGGAATAATAAAAGTTTGAATTTTTTCTTTTTTTTCTTTTAGAAGCAAAAATTTTAAAATAACTGAGCAGTATTTTATTGCAATAAAATTATAAATTTATTAACATAAAGTTTATAGCATGTAAATTTGATAACAAAAATCCGTGATCTAAAGAAGTCTTATAAAACGATAAGGATTATTATTTGTATCATTTTTAAAGAAGTGAAAATTTAAATATGTGCTATATAAAATTGTAGAAATACAATATCTAATGAAACAATTAAAACGTCATTTTTTGGGGGGAAAACCTAAATAATTCTTGGTAATATCCTTAAGTGACATACAACATAATAGCTATTTTTTGAAAGAGAAATATTTTTTATGTAGACAATATTTATTAAGTCTACAAGAACAACGATTAGTTAAACACTTGGACATAAAAAATATTGTAAAAAGTAGTGATAGTTTAAAATTATTTGTTCTTATATACATTATTAATAGAATTATAAGGCGTTTGGATAAATTGAATTTTTATAAGATAAAAATTTGTTATACAATATTACGCATTAGTTGGATTGTTATATTCTTAATATTGCTTGATTATTTATATAGTAATAAAGCGGTTCATTTTGTATAATATCATTAACACATTGTTATAATGTTTAGATTCATAGCAAAATTGCATGTAACCTTTACGAGAGAATTTCTTTATATTTTTTAAAATTAATGCATAACGATGCAAATTATAGAAATAGAACAAGTTCATTAATTTTTCATACACACATATATATGTAATTATGAGTATCATTATTACAATATATTATGAAATACACAATGACGTTTTCAACTGCGAATGATTGGGTATATTTTTATCACATAAATAACTTATTATTTTAACATTTTATATAATTTTAAGAATAACTGAAACTCCTTTTTTTTTAATGAATATCTATATTTACATAAGAGCATTTATTTATTCTACTTAATTAACAGGAAAAGAGTTTATTAGATTTTCCTTCACACAAAAAATATGAAGAATTAGATAATGTAGATATCACTGATAGTCATAATTACTGTATAAGTAATCTTGGAGATGGTGATGAGGAGGATAAAAGACTTTGTAATAAGATAGTAATAAATTTAAAATTATTAAAAAATGAAAAAGATAAAGATAAACAGAAACGAGATTGTTATTACTTTCAACACTGGTTCCATGACCAGATAAAGAAAAAATACTATATTGGAACCAATACACATATGAATAATTATGCTGCTGGGAAACTTTTTGATTTGGTATCATCAGTTGTTCCAGGGTATAATATAGATAAAGCTTGTAATGTGTATTATCTTGGTGATGCGAAAGGATGGAAAGAAGAAAGAGATATTCATGATTATTTTGAAAATCTTGAATATATTAAATGCAGTAATTTTGACAAATCCAGATGTGAAGCATATGTGAATTACGTTACTTACATTGACAACTTATATCAAAAGAAAATTCATAGATGTTGCGACGAAAAAGAAACATATTTTTTTCCCTGTAATTCTTCAATTAAATGTGGTGATGAGTACAATCCAAAAATATTATTAGAAAAATTGAAGAAAGATCTCGAGTCAATGGATACAAAAAAAAAGGAAGAACATGAAGATAATGGCGCTTTGCAACCTAAAGCATCTCTGGACTCCACACCAAAAAGAAACAATGAAGATAATGTTAATACAGTAACACCATATATTCCAGAGATTAAAAGTAATAAAGAAGCTGTGTTCATTATTGATATTCCTAAAGACAAAAAAACAATGTATGACAAGTTAGTTTCTAAAATGTTTCTTAATATTATCATAACAGCTTCAGTGCTTGGAACGATTTTCTTCCTTTTTTATTATCACATGGTAATTGCACTTTTAATTTTAAAATATAAGGTTCATATGTTAAAACTACTATGTGTATTATTTTTTAAATACGTAATGACAAAGTAAATATAAATTCTCACTTTTTATATTTTTATTTTTCCATTAGTTTGCTAGATTGGGATCATATTCGCGTAAAAAAAAGATTGAAAATATTTATGATGGTGAATTTGAAAAAGGATCATCTATGAATGATTCGGATTCTATGTTCTTAGATCATCCAATCAGAAGATTAAATGTGGCTTTTACCACTGCATAGGGCACTTATTACATATTATATAGAGAGCATGAAAATATTTCACATAGTTATGTAAAAAGGCTGTACAACTATAATTCAAGTAATGACATTTAAAAATAAAAATGAAAAGAATAAAAAAAAAATAAGAATATCCTTCGTATAAAAAAATTAATGGTAATATATAATCAAAATGTATAATGATTATCTAAAATAAGTATAGCTCCTAATGATGAAATCATTAATGCACATTTAATCAGTACTAAGACTTATGTAATTTAAAAATATTGAATACGTGTAATATATAATACGTATTATTAAAAGGATAAACGCTACACATTATGTCTATATAGCTACGTAGTTGTTTATTTAATAAGAATATTGTTTATGTCGGTAAGAATGCTTTCGTAAAAATGCTCGAAATGGATTTACATAATTCAACATTCCGATAAATTTTATAAAATAATGATGAAATAAAAAATACATTATTTTTGTAAATATATTAGGAATTAACCAAATAAGGCATACAAAGAAAAAAATACATAGAAATGCGTTAGAAAAATTGTGCCATATTTGTAATGGTATTCTGATCCAATTCTTTCAAATATTAATACCTAATTTAGCATGTATTTATTTCCTAGACGCATTTTGTAAAAATGTGATATATTTTATTTATTATAACCGATACCTATAAAGTTTTTTTTTTTTTTTATTGTTGTTCTGTTCTATTTTTGTTATATATATTTTTTTTAGTTTAACTCAATAATTATTTTAATATCATTACAATTATAAATAGAGTATGCATTTAACTAATATGTGCAACATTGATATTTCACTTATTAACTAGATTTCAATTTTTTTTTTTTTTATGGTCTTATCAGAAGTATTTTACGTAATTATTACATTATTATGTAATAATATAAGTGCTTATACCATTTTAAAATAAAATATTAAAAATATAATTTAATTACGAATCACACATTTTTTTTTTTGGTATTTCATTATCCATTTTACATAGCGTAAATTGTATGCCAATCCCCATTTCATATTAATTTGCTATAAATTCGAATACTAAATACTGAACTTTTTGCAAATTTTCATTGTATGATAGGGAATGAGTTTTATCATAATCGCTTTGTTCTTATGGATTCCTAATATATTATAGAATGACATTCTCTCAGGAATACTTTTAATTCTTTTTTTTATTCATTAAACTTTTTTAACAATGGATCATACTTATAGTTCCAGCAAGAATCCCTGTATTTTTCCTATGTGGCATTCTTTTTCATTTTTAATGTATGCCCCATTTAAAGAACTTTCTCATTGTTATCATTTAATAAAATTATTTTAATGTTAAAAGAATGTAAAATCGGGTGATTAGTATTATATGACATCGTTGAAAATCCATATAATTTCCTTATATTCATGCATACTGTAGGCATATGTGGAGTTCATGTATAATAATTCATATAAATGACATTATTTGGGTGCTAATTTTGGAAATAAAATAATATATACGTAATATTCCTGTAAATATATTAGGTTTTAATAATTAATGACATATCCAAAAATGTTTTCATTAAGTATATCATTGTCTGTTGTACAAAATTACTTTTGTATGATGACGAATTAATTTATTTCGTTGTCAAACCTATTATTTTAATACATTTGTAATAGTTAAATTTTTAACTATAAAAAAAAAAATAACATCATAATATATTATAAATACAAGCACACAATTTAAAGACCAGACATTAAATTCCAAATAAAACATAAATTTTTTGTGTGATATTTTTGAAAATTCATCTATTTAAAATAGTTAATTGTGTGAAAAAATCATAATACATTAAATTATTATAAATTTATATAATTGTAATGTAAACTGTTACAATTGTATCTGACAAAATATTTGTTGGTTTTCTAAAGAATATATAGAAAAAAATTCACTGAAAAATATATTACTTTATTACAGAGAAAATAAATTGTATGCAGATTTACTATGATATATTTGTCACTTGAACATGTTATTTACACGTAACATGTACACTAAATACAAATGAAACATGAAATAGAAAATATATAATATTATATATTTTAATACATGCCTAAATATGCATGATACATTTAAAATTAACAATTCTTTTTTAACTATGCCATTGAATATATTCTGTAAGTGATTATTTATTTTATTCTGGATATTGCTGACTGGCAACATTTAGTACGTAGAGTTTCAATTGATATAATTCCCAAAGAACAAGAAGAAAAATAAAATAATTTGCCAAAAGATAAGGGTAATTTACTATTGAATTATACAGAAAGAGAAAAATCTATAAACTCATGTTCCAGAACTCATGGTTTGTGGAATATGCTGAAACTACATTACTAAAAGTATATTTTAGACAAAATAAATGATAAAAAGTGTAGAAATATAAAATGATCATACAAATAATATGTATATTTTACAATATGAATTTTATAATGAATTTATATTTATGTGAAAATGGTATTATCTTACTGTACTATAATAAGCTTATATAATTCAATATATATATGTTAAATAAAAAAAAGCATACTTTTAATTATAAAATGATATAACATTCCACTATAAATTCATTTTAAGGATTATTCATAATTAAAATATTATTAAATATGTCTTACTTAAAAGTAAATTATTAAAATTACAACGAATGATATTAATAAATTCATATCATTTTCTATATGAACACAAGGAAATTATTAAATCATGAATTCTAATATTTAATTTTCGAGAACTAAAATTTATACAATGGTTACAGCAATAATACTATGCCTTTTATTTATATAACTGAACATGTTAACAAATGATAGTGTGTTCATGTATTTATGTGTTCGAACAAATTCTTTTTTAAGTGATACATATGTTATTCGTCTTTCTTTAAATATTTTTGCTTTTAGACAGCTACTATAAATGTTGAACTCATAGAAGGAGTTTATCAAAATTTAAAAAACGGTGTTATAGAAGAAACATCTTATCAAAATAGTACATTAGTTAACTTAAAGGAAAAAGATTACGAATTATTCAGAATTGGATGTTGCCTGGATAATTATCTTGTTAATGCATCAGTTACAGGTACAGAAAAGAAGAATACTTGTGCTTCTTTGAACTATTGGATAAACAAAAAAAAATCTACGTATATAGGGGATTCAACATTATCTGGTAAGGTAACCTTATGGGATGAATTAGAAAAATTATGGTATGAATTGCAAAAGTCGAGTGGTGAGGATACCATATGGTGCCAGAGGGATCTTAATTTATACGAATATTCCTATACATCAAGAATAGTGTCTGTGTCATCTTTACAATCATTAAGTGACATCATCATTCCTGTTTTATTTCCAGTTATAATAACGTTTATTGTATTTTTGATTATATTTAACGTAATAAAAAAATTATTATATAAAATTATATATATTTTTTAAGAAATATTTATAATAATTTAACTTTAATAGCATTCACACTGTATTAGTACATTATGTTTTCTATAAATTCTTACTATATATATAGTTTACTAAAATTAAAAGATCTTTTAATAAAAACTTAAGTAAAAGGACATTAATAAGGAAGGATATACAAGGCACATATCCCTTAGGACCTAGTGGAGAAGACATCACTTTAGATTTAAAAAAAAAAAGAATTAATATAGTTTATGCATCAAAAAAAAATTCTTAATTCAAATATTTTTCCAAATAAAATATTTAATTATACAATAATATGACAACAATAATGTTCATTTCAAATATAATTTCATAATCAGAAGTATAACAGAAAAAAAAAAAAAAAATAAATAAAATTTAAAGAAATAAAATGAGTCAGTTTGATGAACCCCCCAAAATATAAAAAAATAAGTGTTTTGAAATTTTTATTGTCTATATATATCGTAATAGAACATGTTTTTTTTTTATATTTCACATGTTAATATTAAATATATGAGGACATATAATGTGCTTAGTATTAAGAAATATCTAAGAATGATATACAGAACACTAATTCCAAGTAAAATATTATATGTATTTAACATTTTGAAATGCATTTATCCACAAAATTATGAAATAAAATAGAATGAATTATGTGAGAAAAAATTATAAGAAGTGCAATAAAAGTATTTTAACAATTTGTTAATTTGTATTTTTAACATATTATTATTTTGAGTAATGTAATTTTTACATCATAAAAGCACCTTCATTATGCAAACAACAGCATATTAAAACATAACAAGTAAGAAATTAATTTATAATATTTTTTTTAGTGTTTACATTCTTATTAATTAAATGTTTAGTATTATTAGTTTGTTTTGTAACTGTATCTTATTATTTTGTCTAATTAACATTTATTTATGTTTTATTATATTATTAGTTTTATTCCAACTTTATATGATGTTATTAGTGACGCTGAAACAAATTTGTTCTTCTTACAATATTATATATTTTTTTTAACAAAATATTTTCTTTTAATTATATTATTATTCGTAAAATTAGTTAGAATTATATAATTCATTATATCCCGTATTCCTTGAAATATTATTTGGCGTTTCAGATAGCTGCATTGCGTTAGACTCTTTATATATGTTACTTATGAATTTTCTTTTTTTTCATTACTTTATTTCGTAAGTAGGATCCAATAATGGTGAACTAATTTGTAATAAAAAATATTTATGCATAAAAAATGTATTTTCTTTTGATAAAATATACATTTTATTAAATTTATTAAAATTAGTTATTTTATAGTAAAGATGTATATAACTTATAGCAAAAATAACCTTATACAGTATAAATATAAAAATGGACATTACTAATGTTGCAGTAATTGGAACAAAAATTGGAATTGTTATATAATATGTTTTGTATAAAGGCAACACTCCTGGTATTTGGCTTTTACATGTTTCATTTTCCATCTGCTCATTATATTGATCTTTAACATTTTTTATAGTATTACAAAATTCTTAGACATTGTTTGATCTACATACAGTCTCGTAAATTGTATATATATCAGCACATTCCTTAGAACAATTGCATTTATCGCTATTATAAATTCCACCTTTATCTTTTATATGTTTAATCTTAGTATTCATTTTATGTTTGTCATTTAGTTTTTTTATTATAACTTCTGTAATATAATTTTTATAATAATTGCATATAGAATTCATATAATTCTGATATGCATCTAAAAATCCATGATAGTATTTTTTTATACATTCATAATCCTTATATTGTTTAGTAAATTCATCATATGTCCAAAAATATGTGTATATACAATCTTCATCCTAAACTTCCTGACTTTCGTTTACTTTTTGTTGATAGAAATAATGAATAACTTTTGCACATGTTTTAGAAGTATCAGTAATTTCAGAATACTTATTGGTGAAATTATTGCAGTAATATTCCAGAGCATCTGTGCAATAATCATCATTACATTTTTTTAACATCTCCTTTTTTGCATCAAATAAACTTACATGCATATACTATAAAAAAAAAAAAAAAAAACATGAGATAATATTAATTCATGTATTATTTTATTCTAGAATGATATATTTAAATTAGAAAAAAAAGAAAATTATTTACAAAATGATTATGACATATAACGATGGTATATTACTATTCTATCATTTTCCATAAGTGGCTTGGTGCTTAGTAAATTGCACATTAAATAATATAAAACATTATCAATGTGAATAAATATAAAAAATATAATATATACATAGTTTTACTAAATAAAATGTATTTTTTTACATTAAAAATATAATTTAAATAAATATTTCTAGCATTTCTTTATGTTCATTGTATATATATGAGGAAATAAATTAACAAAACTGTTAAAAATAGAATAAAGGCACTTGATCGTAGTATAAGTATATTGAAATATTAAACATAATATTTTTATAATATAATAATATTATATATTATAATATAATTTTATCAGTTTATTGTAATATCCTATATTGTTGAAATATATGTTTGTCATTTTATATTGTATAATGCTATTATCTATATATATACACTTTGACCCTATTTAAAATGTAGTATATGTAAAAATATCATTTATTGTTAATGTTATTAAATTATTTATATATGAACTTATATTTTCTTAAGCAAATTATAGACAACCTTAATTAGATATTTACATAATATGATATATTAATTCTCTATATATTTTATCAATACAATAATTTCAGGTTTAATATTATTATTTAAGATATATATTATTATATATTATATTAGTTTTAAATGTATTTTTAAATACTAATGATTTTTATTTCATAAATACTGTCATTTTATAAAAATATGAGTATATAAATGTATTTTCATTTACATACATTTGTTTCACTCATAAAGGGTAAATTTTCTTTATATTAAATAATTTTAGTTTGCATAAGTGATAAAGTAGAAAATATACAAAAATGAGAATATGAACCTGCAATTCTATAAACGTATTAAAAATTATGCTTCATGTATATGCACATTTATACAAATCATATATAAAATATTTTATAATTAAAAGAACAATATGTGATATTATATATTAAGTATTGAATAGCTCATTTTAAAATATTTTATTATAATATATTGAAATTCATTTGTTTTATAACTTTTTCATTAATAAATTATTTATTTAATAAATATTTTTACTTATACTTTTTTTAAAATCTGAAAATAATAAATATTTAACTTTCTTATACATAATAAATGTATAACACATAATAATATATAAATATATAAAGTGTATAAATAACGTATAATTGCTATTAAATAGTCCTAATTTATTGTGTTGTTAAAATAATTAGTTTATTTTTTTTATCAAAGAATTAATATTATGCTCAATAGATTAATGCTAATAATAAATATATTTTAATTCCCTTCTTGTGTTAACATAAATTATGGAAATAAGGACAAAATATAAGAAATAAAATTTAATTCATCTACTATATATATTTTTCAAAAGAGAATATCCTTCAGAACATTAATAAAATTTTTTAAGATTTATTTAAAATTTAATACTTATTATAATTCACTAAACAATGTTCTATTTTTGTTTATAATATATTAACTAATAATACGGACACATTTTTTAAACATTTATAAAGTGTTCCCTTTTGACATATGAATTGTAAAGTTTTGATCAATAATATTTTATAAATTAAATATTGTTCAAATATTTTCTTTATTATTATAATTACTTGGTTCTAATGAAATTATATATATTTCATAAAATTTAAATTATACATAATCATGTATTTTTCTAGTAAAATACTAAAAATAAGTAGATAAAAAGACTTTATTATAATATATATTTTCTATACTATTTATGGATAATTAATGTTTTGTATGTGTTTGTGTTTTCAGGAATATTAAACAATAATATTTAAAATCATGGAACGTGCTATATATATATAATTTGTAGAAGATAATAGTATAAATAAAAATTCTAGATATAAGTAGTTTAATGAATTTTAACGCTATATGTCGAATAAATATTCGAAAAATTGATTATTATTAATGTTAATACTATGTTTCATAAAAATTAATTATACAAAATAAATGAACTAATATTTATGGTAGTATTATATATATAATTATTCCAACCATAATACATATACTATAAATAAAATTAGAAGTACAACTGTAATAATTATAGAGTTTATTCAAAGTAAGTTATAATGGAAATATAAGTAAAATTATTGTAGCATTTAATATTTTAATTTTATTTACAAGTTTTATAATATATCTCCGTAATTCCATGAAATATTTAATGATAAAACATTGATATAACATTGTTTTGATTAGTTATAAAGATAGTGGCATAATTTTAAGCATTTATCAAAAGAAGAATAATCTGTAAATATTTGTTTAAATGCATCATTTTTTAATTTACCTTATTAATTTATAAATTCTTTAATGAATAGTTCTCTTATTTAAATATTATTATCCACTTTATAATATTAAAAATGTATATTATACGAATAGCATAAAGAATTTCCTTTTTTTTCTTCTATTATTTATTACGAATATCACATTGCAATGCAAGGAAATATTTTTATTTTCTTTAACGAACATATAAATATTAGAAAATATATAAATAGGTGCTTACGTGGAGTATTATTAAAGAAGTCGTAGCAGTATTACACAATTTTAAACTTTCTATTCCATTGAAATAATATATTTTGCATTATAAATAAAAAATTATGTTATACACTGTTTTAGATACTTTTAGTATGATGATCTCTTTTTAAAAAAATTAGCTCATGCGAAACATTATGTGTTCCGTAACAGGAGTTATAAAATAGTTTGTTTTATATTATTCATAGCTTCTCTAAAATTAATGTGACATTGAAAATAGAAATATGCATAAAATGATTAATAAAATTTTCTTTGTCACTAAGAATTTCGTATCAATATTTATTTTTATTCTTACTTATCATCTTTTCGCTTTATAAAAAGTACGCATTACATATAATTAAATGTCTATATGATTATATCTCATTTTAATCTTTAATATATTGTAAACACAACATTCACCTTAACTGAATTCTAATTTATTACCATAAATTTTATAATTTCATTATTTTTCAAGATTTATCACAATATGTTTCAAACAGAAGGTTTTGCACTCATCATACATTTATCAATAGTTTCATTTATATCCTTTTTTCATTAGTTAGTAATTTGAAATTAATTACAAATAATTATGAATTATTTGTTCTTTTGATGTATAGATCAGACACGTTGTTTGAGTTAAATCTGGATTTTATGTTAGGATTCAATTTGTGATATCTTATAACCCGATTTCCCCTTTTATAACAACTATTAAAATCATCGAATGCAAGGTAATTGTATAAAGTAGATAGACATTTTCGGAAATCATAATGCATTTTTATTTAGTTCAAGTAAATAGAAAAAAAAAAATAGTGCACACTTATGTGTCAAAAATATGTATATTATGCCTTAGGTTTATATTTTAAAAAATTATATACTGAAAAAAATATAAAAAAATTCGAATTCAAAGTAAATATACATGTTTGCATTAAAGACAGCAACGAAAAAAATGTTTAACATGTAAATTTCTAAAATAATTTCATAGCATACTTAGGTTTATCAAAAAATATAATAAAATATATATCACACAAAAAAATTAACAATTTATATATACTTAATGTTAAAACAAAGCGTTATTAATAAATTTTATAAAATATATTTTATAAATATTATTTAATATTCAAAATAACTATATGCAAATTGGACGGGTTTATCCCTTTCAAAAGAAGGCCCTAAGAGTACTCTTTGTAATTTTTTATTCATCTTCTTTCGTTTCTTCTTCTTTTTCTTAGTAAAATGTGTCCTCAAAGGAGTGAACTACAAAGAAAAAAAATACATTAAATATACAATATAATTTATTTGAACAATTATAAATATAATATTAATTTTTTTAAAGCATTGAATTTTAGTTTACTTTAATAAGAAGTATCCATAAAATAAGAATAGCTAATGGTATTAATATAATTATGATATAATTTTTAATAGATATTTCATAGACACTTTCTTTATGTAAGATTGTATACATATCAGGTAAAATGGGAACTGATTCCTTCGTAACTATAACTCTATTCGAACAAGTGCTTTCTCCCAAGGTTTTTGTTTCACAAGAATTATCAATATTAACTTTGTCTGTAAATTTAATAATATTTTAAAAATTTGTAGTATGAAACGTTAATTTTTTCATAAATTTCATTGTATATATGAATCATTTGGTGGTATATGATATCTTTGAAGTGTTATGATTAATTTGATGATGAAGTTGTTTGAATGTGCTTGCCTATTGTTGTGGAGTTCTCATTGGGTCTTGATAAATCTGATCCAGAATTTCTATGAGCATTTTGTAGATTTTGTTTATAATCAACAGTATCTTTATGCTTCCATTGTAAGTCTTCATACGATTTTCCTGCATCTATTACTGTTTTTTCTGTACTTCTCTCTTTTTCATTAATTGTTTCTGCTAGTGTAAGCTCTCCCACGTGAGAAACATTATCCCCCTGAATTTTGGATGATAGAGATAAACCAGTGAGAGGATAATTATTAAAAACTCTTCTATGAGAGTTTTCATGATTCATAGAACCTTGACATGAATTTTTTTTGGCACATTCATAAAACCAATTTCTTATACCTCATCAGTTGATAATTGAAGATCAATAATTTCATTACAAGATTTACCACTATTACAAACTGCACTACAAGTATTTTTACTAACATGTGTTTTTTCTTCAATATATGCATTATCACAGGGGTTTTCAGAAGTATCTTTGTCTGCATTAATTTCAATACCCAAGCTTATATTATCGACACGTCCAATGGAAGTAGGTGTACCAATAGAGGATACAATATTAGACTGTAAAACAATAGAATCTTCATTTCTAGAATGTGTATCATGAATAGGTTTATCATCAGAAGTTGAACCCATGTTATAATAGTAACTAGGTGTTACATCACTTTGGGATGAACGCCCAATGCTTGTATCAACAACACCTACAGTATGATTGACTGAATTAGTAGGTTCTACACCTTTAGTATCTATGTTAGCAGGAGATATAGGAATAAGAACATCACCAATATGTTTTTCGGAATAATAAGTTTTAGCAGCTACCGACATAGGTTTATTATGTTCTGTTGCCAAGCCTTGACCTTCAAACTCTTTGTTTTCCACAGTTTTTTCAATATTATGTTGAGTGTCTGGTAATCCATCTTTTAGAGAATCTTCATGTAATTTTTTTCCTGGGATTTTAGAATGTGATTCAAGTTTTTCAGTATGGATTGTATGTAAAGGTTCTTCGTTTGCATTGCTATCTAATGCTCTATGTGTAGAATAATCTTTGTGAATTGTAGTTTCTGTCGATGTGTCTTGTTGAATAGATGCAATAAACGCATGATTATATCCTGACTGATGTTCATTATCTTGAGTATTTGAAGGACTAGCATGATGTGTTAAGTCTTCAGGAACCTGCAGTACCTCCACTTTTTGTACTGATTCTGTTTCATCTAATTGTTTTTGCTTATCCCCTTTTGGATGCTGTGTTTCATATGTAGATGCAACATTATTTTGAACAGAAGATGCTGAATCGCAACGAGATTGAGATTTACCAGAACAGTTTTCAATAAAATTATTTATTGTTTGTTCTTGATCTGCACTAAGTGGTATATATTTTTTTTTGTAGCATTCCTGTAATTTTAGCTTTTCATTTTCCATTGATTTTCTTAATTCAACGCATTCAATGCAATATTCTGCATTATTTTTTACCTCAAGGGTAATAATTTTGTTTTCAAATTCATCTAAATAATCAGTATATTTATCTATACATTCAGCATAGCTATACGAATCCCTCCCACCAGATATATCATATGATACTGTTGTCATTCTCTATGCATTAATTTTTATTATAGCTTCTTTTCGTTCTTGGTTTAAATAAAAAATTTAGAAAAAAACATTAGGTATATTCTCAGATACATTTTCAAAAGGAAATTCAATATATTAATATTACAAGATTATATTAGCACTATTTTGATAAATAGATATTATTATATTCAGAAATATGATAAATAAATATGTCTAACATATCATTAGGATGTTCTGAAACTGCATATATTAATAATATATTCTAATATTATTTGTTGATATAATTATATTTTAAAGATAATTGTAAAATAAATGAATTTGGAAATGGATATATAATGAATTCTCATTATTTTTAAGCATTAAGTTGAATACATCATAAGTACGAAATAACAAAAACAGGAGTTTTAAAAATTAAATTATTGTGATGTATCCACAAAGGTACAAACTTATTAAACGTTACACATAAAAATATAAAATAAAGTTTGTTCTGTAAGTGATCATATAAAAATATATGTATATATTCTTTTTCTTTTAATAGTAACACAAACATATATTTAGGATAATATATGTTTATCTTTGTAATACTTTCATTCCTTGGTTATGACATATAAGTTTTCATATAAAGTGTGTTGCTAGTAAAAGGGAGTGCGTTTCTATTTAGGTGTCAAATAACATTTTCTGTGCTTATGTGTCTTTTTCATTGTTATGAAGGTGTTACATTTTGCATTTTATAGTGGTTTCACATAAAAATAAGAAATAAATAATGAATTATTTACACTTTGGTTTATTATATTTTTACAAAAATAATATATATTTAACATGTCTAACTGATAATTAAAAAAGATTTAAACAGGTGTATCTTGAAAATTATCTATTTATGTTTTTATTTTTTACATATATTCCATTTATATTTTTAGATATATTTTGCTCATTACATAAATAATGAATTATTGCATGTTGAAATATTTTTTCTTTATAGAATAAGTAATATTATTTAGTGAATAATTAAATTATAATAATGAAAGTGAAGTAAAAAAAAATAGTAATATAATAAATTACTTATCAAATAAAAATGTGCAGAAATTTTATTACTGAATTAAAGCTAAAAATGTATCAAATAAGCACGAAATAAACATATATAAAATAACAATGTACAAACGTAATTAATGCTTTATTATTATAATATTTCACTTAAAACATTTGTATTCAATTGAATAGGAAAAAATGATAACTGATTTTTCACGCTGCTTGTAGATATATATGCTTCTTTTGTTTGAAAAATAATAATTCATTATCCTTTTTATTGCTTAAGTAAATTACTAATATTTAAATAATATAAATTGGGGGATTATACGAAAGCAACGTGTCTACAAATATATATATAGTTTTAATAATATAAACAATTTTTTTCTTTATTAAAAAAGTAATTGATTTTATTGTGTTGTCATGAGCAGTTTACCATAAATTCCCCCCAATGCTATTTCACTGTATTTATATTAATTATATATAAATAATAATATATCATTTTTAAAATGCAAAATACTTACACAAAACAGCATATTTTATAGTTAGAAAACTACTTAAAATGTTCCATTTTTTATTTATAGATGCAAAATTACATTTTATTTAAATGTAGTTATTTTATTACTCATTCATTGGTTGCACTCTTAATAGTCTTATTACATTCCCCCTTAATATCTATATGTTATATGTGTGGACTTCATGTATAAGAATTCTCTCAAATGAATGTTATTATTTTACATTTAAAAGGTTAACTGTGTAGCGATAAAATATCCTTTGCTGAAATTTTTAGTCTTAATTTTTCTTCAATTGAAAATAATATATTGTTAAGAATTCACTATGTTTTTTTCGTATGTCTAAATTACTAATGTATAGAAACATATACACTTACTTTTATTTGTATTGCTTTTCGTGTTATATTTAAGAATATTACTAGTTCATATAATTTAAAAAAAGATTCTTCAATTTTATTTTCGTCTTTTTAAGAAAATTTGATGTTATAATTATTCTATATATATGTATAATCATTTTATTATTTTATGATCTTTTAGCACATTTCGTAAAATTTTAATCTTTTCACATTCCTTTTAATTTAAAATGGACAATTGGTCATTTTCAGTGTAATATATACTTATTTTAAATTTAGGGTTTTATCTATAAATACTTTAATTTACTTTTACATAACATGAGAAAAAATGATTTTTCTCACTCTTTTTAATGTGGTAAAAAATGCTACTGTCTAAAATCCATTTCAGACAATTAACAATAGCAAAAAAATCTTATTAATTGTATTGTACTCTTGCAAAAAATGTTAATATGACATCATTTTCCAGAATAATTTCGAAAAAGCACAGTTTTACATATAAAATTTAAAAACATAAAATTATATTAATGTGTTACATGCGCGCTATATTGGGACATATGAGAATTCTGTAAAAAGCACTTTAAAGTTCTTACTCATGGCAATAATAATTATTACATAATTACTTTTTCATTAATTGAAATGAAATAACGCTTCAAATTGTTATATAGACATTTGTGCCGAATGAAATATTTCATTTCATATATGTGTTTATTATGAGGATAATTTTTTTCCAAAAAATATGTAGAGTGTATACTAAGTTACACATTCATGAAGCTATGATATTCAATACTCTATATCATTATTATCTTTTAGCTTTTAATTAACATAATTGAGAATGTACAAACTCAAAGACATATTAATAAAACAAAAGTAAGGATTTTTTCCTTTTTTAAATGAATATTTTTAGCGCTTTCGTGATTACATGAAAATAAAATAAATGAAATACTTGGGAAATGTAAATTTCATGATGTGTTTTACATAAGTGCGACAAATTATGTTTTTTATTTTAAGTGCAACATATTTAATATTTTGCACCATTGTGACACCCCAAAATATTTTTTTCTGAAAAAAATAAGACTGTTTTGTAATCATGTTTTTTAAAACAATTATAATGTAATTTTTTTTTTTTTTTATTCTTAAATGATTTTTGAGAAACATTTATTTTACTTGCGTAAAAAAATATTAATCCCTAAATTATTATTTACTACATGTTGAATGTATATATTCATATATGTTTCCTTTCTGGTGTTGCAAATTATAAGATTAGAGGTTCCATTCTCATTGTGTAATGTCTATGTAAGCAATATTAAAGAAACATAATTAATAACATTTTGTGCGCCACTCGCTTTTTATAAAATGAATGAAATTACAGCACGACACATTATATTTATACGTTTATATCATATTTGTTTGTTTTTTTCATATTATAAACGTTCCATAGGTTTATTTTTAAAAATGTATAAATAAAAAATTGAAGTGAATAACTAATGAAAATATAATAATAGACCAATGTAAATAATTACCACTTTTTTGTGCTGAATCAAGACATCATTTATATTTTTAAACCATTCTTGTTATTATAACAAGATATTTCAATAGAAGATATTTTGAAAAAACGTATGTATTCAGTAAAGAAATAAAAACGTTATATATTGTGCTGCCTGGAAATAAAAATTACTTCTTTTATTACGTACTATTTATAGAGTCATGTAAAACCCGATTAATTTTATACTTTGCGTAACAATAATTTGGGTGTAGTACATTTAAGAATAGTTAAGAGTATTTATGTATTATGATGTTTACGGTATCATATAAATGTTTCTTCTTAAGTAAAAGGATTTTTTGTTTTTTTTTATAAGAAAATACATGCTTTTTGTAATTAATTTATTGTGATAAACAAAATATCAATTGATCATGTGTTAAAATACAACATTTTAAAGTAAAATAGGACATATGTAAATATTTATGTGATTTAGTAATCATATATTAAAACAAGATGGAAAGATTAGATAAGATAAATTGGGTATATTTAGATTTTTAATATATATATCTATATATGTATAGTCTAGTTAGTGAACATTTTTATAATATTAATAAGACTGAAAGAGTTCATTTTTTAAGGATACTTTTAAATATTTAACACTATTTTTACTTTGTGATCAATTAGCAGCACGAACTTTTTACAAATTTTCCTACCTATAAAAAGTATGATGAATTTGATAAGGTTAACATTATAAATTATGACCATGATTACTGTAAGAAGTTAGAAAACTTTTCCGAGGATGAGAAATTTTTTTGCAAACAGATCACAAAACATTTAGAAGAATTATCAGCTAAACAGAATAGAGAACTTAAAAATGACTGTTTTTACTTTACATACTGGTTCTATGATAAGATAGGGAAAAAATACTATAAGGATAATAAAATAAAAAATAAAAATGTCAGTGATCAACTTTTTAATATAGTAGCATTGTTAATCAAAAGATATCCTAACTTGGAGCCATGTCGATGCTACGAATCAGGTAATCCGGAAAAATGGAATGAAGAAAAAGTTATGCACGACTATTTTGAAAATTACCAATTTATTAAAAGTAATAAATGTGATAAAAGTAATTGTGAAATATATTTGAGATATCTGACTTACATTAATAAGATTTATGATATATTTTACTACAAGGATTTTGGTTGTTGTGACTATGACATTATGCCATCCTATTGTGAACCATATTTTAATTGTGATGATAAATATGATCCAAGTGATCTTTTGAAAACTATAAAGTCTTTATATGAGAAATTGAGTGAAGACGAAGTTAATGCAGTGATAAATGATGGAAGCTCAAGTGTTGAGGAAAATGGGCTTCCTCATAATAAATATAGTACTCGACATATGTCTAATGAAGTCGCACAGATTTCTTCATCTATTCCAATTAATGTGCCAAATGAAATAGTACAAAATCGCTTCAGTAAATTAGAAACACATCACGATATATTAAATTCATTCTATATTAATCGTTTTATGATAATTACTTCAATATTGGGGACAATTATATTCTTATACCTATACTATAGTGTACATTTAAATTCTAATTAAATATATATATTTAACATTATGATTATATTTATAAATTATTTATGTTAAGTTCATATTTACAAAACATTATACTCGGCTCTTTTATATATATCAGTCTACCTCCGAAGGATCTACGTTAGATAAAATAGAAATGAAGATGAGAAAATTAAATAAAAGTCAAAATGAGATATATGAAGGTAAATTAGAATCATATAATTCAGAATCTGAAGTAGAAGATTACAACGCAGAAAAATTATATTTCTCATATCACTCCACGAAAAACAATTTTCTGTAATTAAAGCATAAATACAAAAATGTTTAAGTTTTTTATGAGTAAAAGTACTAATATAGTTACAGGATGAATCCATAACATAAGGTATAAATTGGGAAAATAATAAATTATAGGTGTAAAAAAACTAGTTGTAAGCATTGAACCTTGTAAAAGTGAATATTTACTTATATATGTTTTTTATAGGTATGTAATATCACCTAAATATTCATTATAATAACTATAATTCATATTGAAACATTTTTTTCAAAACTTGAATAACTTGAAAATTATGAATAAAAGATAAATGAACGAATATATATTAAGGATTTCGAAGTTTTATATTTTAGGCATGTAAAAAAATGAAATGGTGCTATAAAATTAGAAATAATGGAGATACGGATAAGGTAGGTTCAAGAAATACTAGACTGCTTCAAGAATTTTGAGAACTATCATAATTATATGTAAGAAGTTATTGTTTAGATGATATAATTGAAAATTCATGAATGTAAGCATGAAAAAATTTCGATTAAAGCATAATACTGTAAACAAATATGATTTTACAAGAAAAAATATATGATAAAAATATTCGAAAATATATTTGTATTACGGAATATATTATATTTAACTAATTTAATTAATATATATATTTATTTTAAAAAACACATTTATCTTTTCCACATACATTTTGCGCACATACAATATTTAGCTTTATGTTTTACCATTATTTTGTTTCTATTTGTTTGTTTGTCTATTTGTTTTTATGTTACTTTTTTTTATCTAACTTTAAAGTTATAAATATGATAAGTATAAATAGACTATTAAATTCTATAATTTAATCAAGATTATTATAATAATTTACATAAATATTCATTTATGCATACATATACATAAAAATGTGGTAGGTAGAAATAGTCTTATTATACCTTTGAATAAGAGCACATAACATTAAAAAAATCATTTGTTATGGGCAAATTATATTTATGATTATTTAATTTTTTTTAATTGTCATTACAGAAGGTAATATAGTATATAAATTATGGGGAATTATCTTTATTATCTTAAAGTATATACTCTTGTACAACGCACTTATAGATTCTGTATTAAAGATAATTTATTCAAAGCAACAAATACTAAATGTATTAAGAATATATAAACACGCTCAATAAACATTCTTTACTAATGCATATATATAATAAAAAGGATGAAGTAAATGTTCCACAAATTTATGTTTCCTAAGATTTTAAAAAGGGGAAAAATTTTTACATTTTTATACACATATGAATATATAACAAATAAATATTATTTCTTTGAGCATTATATATATTTTATATTAAAATTATTTAGTAATATATCTTATATGAAAAAGATTAATTACTTTAAAAATGTACAATAACAAGTTTTATTTTATTTTATGATTATTGCTAATTAATCGTGTAGATCATGTAGCAAATATATATAGAGTGTGAATAAATGAAGAGATAAAATATATTTATACTTTATACAATTGTACTGTTTTGAAATAAAAACACAATTATGTTAATATAAATATTGTTACATTTGTAATAGAAAAACATGGATTGCATTATAACAAGTTTCCTTAAAGATTTAGTACTATGAGAAGAACCACTACTATTAAATAATGTCATATATCTTATTATTTTTCTATTTTTTGTTATAACGGAAATTTTTTTTTTTTCTGTTTAATGGAAGCATAAAAATGACTACAATTATTATGTTTCAGATTATTCATAAAAGAGAAGCGTATGTAATTATATATATTTTTTTATTATTTAATAAATAATTCATTATTATTTATTTTACAATCCATAGATATATATGATTTTAGTGTTGTATGTTGAATACCTCAGATAATATTATTAATAACACGCATAATATGAATTTTAAATATTATTAAAACAAAAATCGTAGTGAGGTATGGATTTCACAGATATTAATTAGGGTTTTTTGGTATATTCTAATAAGCCAGTATTCATATTATCTATCCACGTTTTATATATAATATTTTTCTTGCATATTTTTTTTTAATTAATATTAAGCTTTTCCATATTTTTGTACACAATATATTTATAAAGATACTAATTAATCCTTGTGCACTTATGTTATGTTTTAATTTTCTTGCTATAACATAATAGTTATGTTTATTTATTTATAGATGTCATCATATTATGAAAATCTGATAATATACAAGAACTATGTTTTATTGATATACCAATTTTATGTAATGTTTTTTAAATTATATAAAAGTTTATGTATTTGTATTATTTTTTATAATAGCATAAATAATTTACATTATGCATGTATGATAGATTATATATATATTCATATAAATGAATAAATTCTTTTACAACATATAATACATAATATTATCATATAAATTGTTTTTGATTTATTGGCTGAAAAATATTTTCTAAAAAAAAAAAATATAATTTATGCATTGTTACATTTTATAATTGGCATGCTTGTATATTTATAGAGATAATGAACAATTCTAATTGTAATCATGAATGAAAAGGATAAATAAAAATGTTTCTTAAATAAAAGTTAACATACTTTTAAAAAAAATCTCTAAAAATGTAACCCAATAAACACATTATGAAATTAAAATTTTTAGTCAATATAATTATACATACCTTAACTAAACACATTATAAAATATGAAAAATATAAAAATTTTAAAAAATAATAAATGATTTGTAATACCGCTTTTTACAATAACAATAAATCTGAAATTAAAGGATATTATATAAATTTAGCATATAATAATATTTATGTTTGTAATTGAATTGTAAATGCATAAGCATATTCAATTATAGCACTAATATACATTACAACAAAGCCATAATTTAACTTTTATATGATAATTTACTGTACCATACTGTATATAGGATTGTAATATAAATATCTTATATGATAATGAATCGTGTTATCATCTATCAATGATATAATGTATATTACCATAAAATAATTGCTAAAGGAAATCTCCTAAATAATAAAACTTAAGGATTAAGTCTAAATATTATTATATTTATGTATAAAAATTGGAGATTATATTTAATGTAACTCATATATTTATAATCTATATTTTCTTAACATATAAATAAGTTATGAATGCAAAACAAATAAAACTTTAAATTAAAATGTAATATATAAAATTGGAATAATAAGAAAATGTAGATAATCTACGTCTGTTTTCGGAGTAAATTTTTATTTCAGGAAAACTATAATTCTGTAGAAATCATATATTGTATTAAAATATAAGTTTTATATATATTATTTGTTGACATAATTAGACTTCTTAAGAATGATGATTACACTTACGGAGATATTATTTTAAAATGTTTAAATATATCGCAACTAAATCAACTATAATTTTCAAATAATATTAAAAATTTTGTTGTATAGAATAAATTAAAAAAAAGAGCTATGATTATTTTTCAAATGAACACTATTAACGGCATATTACAAATGTGTGGTTTCACATTTAAAATTTTTATGTATATATATAAATTATCAAAAAAGAATAATTCAAATATTTAGAATAAGAATAATATAATAAGTGAAGAAAAAGATAAAAGAACTATGTAAAATATTATAATTCCTCTATGATTAATATTATTTAAACGAACTAAATAATAAGTATAAATCATAAAACAGAACTATATAAAGTATATTTAAAGTTTTTTTTTTGAGATACAAAGAATCCATAAAAATAAAAAATATAGATATTTATGAATACAGTAAAAAGAATTTTAAAGGCTTTAGTAAAAAAGGAAAATTATCAAAACATAATTTATTTTAGATATTTTACATTCATCCATTTTTTTAGTATTGAAATTTGTATTTTAGTATCAATATTTATCTATTTTAGAAATGCATAAATGCAGAACAATAAAGTTATTATAAAACATAGAATAATCCATTCCTATATATATTTTATTGGCATACTACATTTTTAATAATAATATTTATATATTGTTTACAGATTAAATTTATTACTCTTATATTTTCACATTATCAAAATGATTACAGGTTAAGCCTAGTTTTAATGTATTTTACTAATTCATACTAAAGAATAAAAAAAAATTATAGTATGAAAAAAACTTATTCAGTTGAATATATTTCCTTAATATTTATGGGATATCATAACATAATGAATATAATGTTGTAATCTATATCATAATATATCAAATGAAAAATGTTTTTTCCCATCTTAGTAGTTATATATTGGTACATATCAAAGAAAAAGAAAATAATGAAATTAATTAGGAATTGCATATTCTTTTTTTATAAAGAAAGCACATTGTGAAAAGGGAATTTATATTATGCTTATATATAATTATGATACAGAATTAGGAACTTTATTGGCGCAATATATAATTAATTAATTCGGAAAAAAAATACAATTGAACTTGAGGCATGTAATATGTTTTCTTAATTATTTAGAAGTATGAATAAAAAAAATAAAAGTATTAATTATAGTAATGTGAAAAAGATAGTAGTGTTCGTTATGTTATATCATTAGCTAATAATACATAATAAAAACATATAAAATTATTTATATTATCAATGATAATAGATAAGAATGTATATTATCTATGTACAGGAAAAAGAACTTTACAAAAATAAATAACATTGTAGAATGAGAATTTAAAATTTCACCTTGCATGATAATATGTAATTACAGAATAATTATATATAATAATATATATCATGATATATCCCAATTATGAATTAACTACAATTACTAGAATTATTTATGAAAATAAGAAAAACATATAATGATTCATAAAAATAATTTTTAAATGTACGTTTAGTTAAAAAAACATGAACTTATAGCCATAAAATGATCAATTTTAATATAAATAATATTGTGAAAATTTTATATTATTATATAAATATAATAATAATATGATTTCGAAATGAGTATAATATATTAAAGATAAATATATTATATAATTAAAAGTAATATATTATTTTTATTGATAAGTAGGAATAAAAAATATTAGCATTAAATATATTTATAAAAGATGTGCATAATATAATATTATATTTAAACTTTTTTAAATTTATCTATGTTTTTTGCATAATCAATTTTTTATAGTTCTTACGACGCCCTTATTCAAATTAATAAAATAATTTAAAGTTTATTAATAACTTCTAATGACAATATGTTTTATAATTATTTCATTTTAACAGTCCCATATGATTGTTGGATAACATGGGTCATTATAATTTGATTCTTTTCTGTGTTTTATCATTCATACATATTATTAATAATGGAATTATATGTAACTCGGATATTCAAATAGAGAACTATATGTATATGTATAAAATATAGAATATGTATAATTTTCTAATTTTTGTCTATATTTAAAATAAGATTCATATGATGTTACAGGTTTTTATAATACAATGATATATGTTCAGTTATTGCATATTATTATTTACGTTAATTTCCCTTTTAATATATTAACGTGGTATATATATTTAAATATTGTATTGAAGTATATATATTTTTCATTATAATAATATAATATACGCATATACTGCTACATTCGTTATAGTTATATATGCGTATAACTAATTATTGCACATTTAAATATAGTCGGTAAATTTAAATTATACATTTATTCATAGGAATTTTATGATTATTTTCCAGAAAAATATATTATATTATAATTTTTTTCTTCAGCATCTGCAATATGATTTTCAGATTTACATATTATATATTCGCATCGTTCGTCGTTTATATTAATTGTCTTTCTTATCATTCTTTGAATACGAAGGCGTAAATTCTTCCAAGATTCTTTAAACTAATAATAGAATGATATTTTAATGAATTATTAAGAATAATTTATTTACAAAGTAGTGTTTTGTTTATATATAATATAAAAATAATCACGCAATATAATCATATTTAATTTTAATTCTTATTAACCTTATACAGATATAGAAACATTGCACCTATAATTGTAGTAATGAGTATTGTTATTATTATAACTTTTTTAGATGTATTAAAAGCAGAAAAACTGTCAACAGAATTCCCTTTAGCATGTATTGTTTGGTCTTGTATTCTTTCTGATTGTATTAGTTCTTTGCATCTTTCTTTATAATCTTGATGATTACCATAATCTGATAATTCAGGTAATTCTCTGCTGCATTTGACTTTTGATTTCAATTTATTCTTTTCAATCAAACATCTAATTTTATTTAATTCAATAAGCAATGGCTCATCGGGGGTTTCTATAATGATACTTAAGAGATCATTATACAGATTAATTATATTTTGAACATAAACACATAGACCTTCACTGATGCTAGATGTGATTAAAAGGACTAAACTCGAGTAATAATCATATATATTATATAACTTTACTTTTTTTTCATGTATGTTATTAGAAGTATCTCCTATATCTAATGTACATCCCATTTCTTTTGCAAGAGAACTATATTCATTAACGTAATCTTTTAAATACGTAGATATAGGTAGAACACCAATATTAAGCGCTTCATCATCTTGTTTTTTTATCCAGTACTTAACATAATTACAATATTTATTGCTATTACTTGAATAGTTCGTATTAATATACTCAAAATATGCTTTTATTTTCATACAATAGGCTTCTATAGTTGCTTTCATAACACCCATATTTTTTTGGATTTGCAAAAACTTATCAATATCATCTGTATTAACTGATCCTTTAGAACTTCTAGTGTCCATAATATCTTTGTATAACATATAATCTTCGTATCTGAAATACTAATAAAAAATATGTAAATTATAGGAAATATAAACATTAATGTAAATATTAAAAAAGTAATATCATTGATAAATCCATAAATGAATTTAAGAAAATAATAAGATATTATTCAGGATTATAAAACCATATAAAAGTTACAATATCACTAAATGAAGCGGATGACATTGTAATCATGAAAAAGAAGAACTAGTTTAATATTAATATTATTTTAATTGTAAATATTGAACATCAGATGAAATTAAATATTATACTTATCGTATATTTTTATTACTAATTTTAAAATTTAATCATGTACTTTATTAGAAAATATATTTCTATTAACATATATATATATAATATAATTTATTGTTATCAAATTAGAAATCAATGAATATCAAACACGAAGAAAAATTGATGAATTATAAATATAGTTTAAAAAGATATATAGTAAATATAGAAACATGAAATTATTATTATTATAAATAGTTATTAGATATAATAATATTTTACATATTAAAATATATTTTTTCATATACATAATGCATATAATGATAAATATATACGTTTCTCTGTATAAGAATTATATAGATAATGAAATGTTGTTTAATATAGTTTATATTTTATTATCATTTTTACAAATAATTTCAGTATACATATTATGGGCACATATTTTCAAATTAAAAAATTACTCATTTTTAAGTTCTTCCCTATTCTATAAAAAATGCTTTGATTGGAAAATATCTTTATATTATAAAAGAATATATTTATGTATACAAAAAGAATAGTAGAAATTATATCGTATGTATTGCAATTATTTTATAATTATATTATGTTTACTAAAACATTACATAAGTATATAATGTAATATGTTATATATATTAAAATAAATGATTACCAGTACCTCCGTTTTATATATATTTCTCGAATAATATGTTATTTATGTGAATATATCTATTTGAACCAAAAGAAAAATATATTATTTATTTATATATAAAATTAATGGAAAATATGTTATGGAAAGCTTAATATAAAAATATGACATGTCTCAAATATAATAATACAAATATATTCTCCATTTTGTCATTCAAATGTTATATATTTTCTATATATTAAATAATAAAAGTTATATTATATTAAAAAGAATATAATATATGTAAAGTTAGACTATATCAGTTATAATATGTTTATTAATTATTTAACTATATGCATATTCTAAAATATATGAACAGTGAAGTCCAAATACCTATTATGGTATTGAAAATGTATGTATATTATATATAGATATGTTTATTTAAATTCATTGTAAACAGTATTATTAATGATACAAAATATGCATAACAATATAATACATAGTACAATCTGTACAAATATTTTGTAAATAGTTGTTTAACGAAATATTATATTTATATATACTAAATAATTGATTATTTATACAGCATTTTCTCTAGTATGTTATGGTATACATTGAAAAAATAATCAATAATATTTCTATAGTGTGATCAATGAATTCCTAATTCTAAAATATACTATATTTATATTATTATTCATATATTCAGAACAAAGGCATATTTATTTTTATCATATATTTATTTTTTTTTTTGTGAATATAATGCAATTATTATACATTATTTTTTTATCCGTTTATATTAGTATATATTTAATCACAAGAATTATTTTCACTTATTAATATTATATATATTATTTATAGAAAAATAATGGAATTATTACGATATATAAAGTATAAGAAACTTAATTATATATTTTTTGTAAGCAGATTGGGCATTATGTATATAAATTATATTTTTTTTTATAATAGTTATATATGACAAAAGTCTATATTATTTAATCATTCTTATATATAGATGAAATTCAGTTGAATAATATATAATTAATTATAGTTATTGTGTTTTTACACATTTATGATATTATATATATATGTAATATGATTATATGATATTACAAAATTTTTTATCACAAAAGAGAATATTATAAATGTCATATATATTTTATTTTTTTATACTATAATATTTAATACCATAAAATCTATATAATAATAGATTTACATCTTATAAAAGATTATTTTGAAAATTTTTATTTTTTTTTACAAAATTATATAAAATATTAAGAATCTGTTAGTGATATATAAAAACAATAATTATTCAACTTGTTAAATATTAATAACATTCTTTAATATTCACTTTCCTTTTAATATTAATGTGTATCTTGAATGAATGATATTTCATTTATGTATTTAATGATTACATATATACATAAGAAGGGGTATTATATAGAGATATTTTTATAGACATAATAATAAATAAGAATTATTTTTATTATGGCTTTATTTCTATTATAAAGTTCTTTTAATAATAAAATCATAAAAGAAAAAACTTTTTAACCTTATTTTATATTATGCGTTTTGTTGTTAAATACACATTGATAAAAATGTTTTATATATTAATATTATATTTCATGAATTCTATGATATGGTGTATATAGTACATTCATTATTTCATAATGCATTAATATAACTTTTATTATAAAATATGAACAAAATATATACAGCAATATATAAAAAATTTATTCATGATGATCATTATACTAAAAAAAGGAATAATTTTCAATTTGTAGATAAATACAAATAATCATGTATTATGCTATTTTTTATGAGAAGTAAATATCATCATCAATATAATACATATAATAAAAGCAAACATAAACATATTACACAATATATAAGAGTACGTTTAAAAAATAAATAAAATATTCAAGAGATAAAAAAATATTTAAATATTTTTTTTATATGTTTAGCTTTTAATCATAATTATATATATAATCCTGTTTTATCTAACAAAAATGAACATTTTTCATATTACATGATATTATAAGTTATGTGAATAACCATATCCTCATATAGGATGATAATATATAAAAATTTTCTAACATATAAATATCGTCATATGAATATACAATGATATACTGGATAAAGCAAAAAGTATTTTCTTATTGTTATCATAATTTTAGAAGAATAAATGAATGTATATTAATAACATATAATTGTAATTGCTAGGTTTTCATAATAAAACATTCATGATAATAATATATTTATGGAAACTAAAAACATATTATGTAGTAAGTAATTTTATAAGTATTATTATAAAAGGAGATATTATAATACATTTTTATATATTTCAATATTCCCACAATTATAAATATAGAAAAAAGTATTGTTATTTTATTGCAAGTCGACATATACTACATTAGAAATTTATAGATAAATACTATTGTTTCATAAAAAATACTTATATATTAATATTTTCATAAAATATTTTTGACAGAATTATAAATGTTTTTTTAGCTAGATTCAATATTGAAATAAAATATCTATAATATATTTCTATATAATTAAAATGGTAATAATAATAATCACAAATAATATTCCTTTATATATCCTATTCTAACATCAATTAATAAAAAATTCTTAAAGAAAATTAATGCATTAATAAAGAAATATATGTATTTATATGATGTATTTTAGTTTATCTTTCTAAAGAATATCAGTTTCAATTTATGTAAATATTCTGTTATATTTAAATGCATATGCTATTTGGATATTATAAAAATAATATTATATATATATATATATTTTTTATTTAATTTAATCATTGAGTATAAGAACTATTTTTTTTTATAATGCTTAAAATATTTTTTATTACATTCAACAGTTCTCTTATATCATCTATATTACTTTATCATATATAAATATTGTAATAAACTATATATAGATTTCAATGAATATAATATTTATGCAGACTAAATGTTGCAAAAATATCTTCATATCCTAACATATAAAATTTCTTTACAGTACATATAAACATTATTATTATGAGTTTATTGATATATTCCCTGAGGAGTAATAATTTACAATATATATACATAATAATATATGACTTATACAATTTGAAACAATTATTGTAAGACTACATATGCATTCTATAAATATATATACTTATTTATTTTTATCATTCAATAAATTATATGGGATAGTGTAATATATTCATATTTTACAGCATTATTCCATAATATACTGAGAATAATGTAAAAATAAAACAAATATATATTTTTTTTATAAATAAAAAATAAAATTTATAACTTTAATAAGAGTAATAATTCTGAGTTATTTTAATAGATTATGTTTATATTCTTGTTTTATCTGAAATATGGTTACATATTTTTAGATTAATTATAAATTGGGCTACATAAAATATATGTTCAAACAATAATTCTAATTATTATAAAAAAATATATATATTAAATAAATTAATATGCAAATGTAAATGTGTGAATATGCTATCATAATGTTATTACAAATATTATTTAAAAAATTTATCTTATGATATGTGAAATGTTGTGTAACATATTTGTTTTGAATTTTCTATGTTTTTTTTTTTCATTATTATATATAATAATATCCAATACATATATATGAAGATTATGTATGTTTTATAGGGATGTTTTAAAAATAATTCAGTTTTTATTATATGAACATATCCAAATTTATTTATATGTGGTTTAAATTGAATTTTTATGCTTGGTATAAATATATTCCACTGATGATATAGATGTGTTATTTATAACATAAATAATAAGATTAACTATTATTTTTTTTACATTCTTCATTTATTATACTCTATTATGTTACAAATAATTTTTTTCAGCATGTATGAATTCCATAAATCTTATGATACATGTAATTATATTTTTTATTTTAATTAGATATAAATTTTTTTTTGAATTATACAAATAAAGTCTTATAAACGTAGTTCATGTTTCAGATTTTAATATATCTATTTTTAGATTAGTATTTCAAATATATAATAATTTTTAATTATGTTTATTTATTATTATCTCTTTGTACATCATGATAATCACTAAAATTTGTGCTTATTTTATTGGAAATATTTAAAATTATATTTTACTTATTATCATGTATTATCAAATAATTATAATTTTTTTATGATATTATATTCTATTTTTATTTTATTTTTTCCTTTTGGAAAAAAAATCATTCTTATATCTTATTGATTTATATGAAATTATGCCCTATTACTAAGTAGTTTTTATAAATGCTTCATGTGTATCCTATGGAGGTACATCCTATATGGTACTTATCATCAATAAAATTGTTGTGTGTGAATTCACTTGAATTCATAACATTTTCATGATCTTTATTTTTGTTGTTCTACATTTTCCTAAAACTTCTTAGAGTTCGTTGTAACGATGAAACGTACGGATTATACTGACAATGTAAGTATAATTTGTTATATATATGTATATGTGTATTATTTATATAATATTCTTTTTTTAAAATAAAAGGTAATGTAAATTTTAATTGATTTACACATTAAAGAAGTTGTTTTTTTTTTTAAACTTATACAAAAATAATGTTATCTTTAATAATATAAAAGGTAAAATAATTAAGGCTAAAATAATAATTCGTAAATTATTCAAAGATGCAAGGAGTTTCAGTCTTTCTTGTATATGCGACAAATATGTCATATTTTCATTTTTAAAATTTTCTAGGAATTTACGAAACTGTTGTTATTTGATCTTTTATATATTTCTGATAATTCCAAATATGAATTGAAACATGGACTAGGATTAGGACATGTATTACCATATCTTAAAAATTATGTATATAATTCATTCACTTTATTAAATGTGAAATATATACTCTCATAAGATCTACAAAATCGTTTTCACATATTTTAGAAATATTCTTAGTACTGCTTTCTTGGGTTATATTAATCATTGTTTCGTAAGCATTTTTAATGCCTTTGTTATAGAATTTACTATCTTCTAGTAATACTTTTATCATATAGTTAAAAAATATACAACTTTATTTTTTAACAGGGAATATTATACTATTTATATAGTCTAAATAGAATATAAGTTTTTTACAAGAAAATATAAATTTCCCATAATTATAGGTTGAACACAATTGTGTTCGAATATCCTTGCATGCATTTTTAAGATTTTCTTCGTCAAGTTTTACTACATCTTTGTATGATTATTATAATCATAAATGCACTTCAGAAATATACCTTCAAACGAGAACTGAAAAAAAAAGTTCAAAATGCATTAAATTTTTAAAAATATTTATAAAAAATAATTTTTTGCGTGTGTTAATATAAACATCCCTATTTTCAAATTATTTAAGGTAAACTATAATTGGTATTAATATTAAGAACTTGCATCAGGTTTTATTAATATTGAGGCAGCCATTGAGTTATATTTGTAAATTAAACAGTAGAAACCTTATTTTTTTGTAATAATAAATCTTTGAATTTATATGTATCATACATCGATCTATATTTATATAAAATATATTTTAATATATAGTACAATTATTTTAAGCAGTTTTTTTAAATTTATATTTTATTCAGGTATATATTAGAATATTATTTTATCATCTGCTATTAATTTTGAAATCAACTGTTCATATGCTTTTGAAATGTGAAGAAAAACTATATAACTCAGAAATTATATAAAAATACAAAATGATAAGGGATATATTTTGCATTATTGTTATATATATATTACACATATAATAAATCAATTTCTAAATAAAATAATCCAGGAATTATTTATATTAATATAATCAATATTTTTTCCTATAACGCATATTTATATCTTTTTCTTTAATGTATTTATTGGAAATGAATGAGTATATATAACAAAATTGTGTTTTTAACAATTTAATACATAAATATTTTGTATAAACTTTATATTAGTATTTATTTATTTATAATAAAATGTATATTACTTGTATTTTAATCTCACATTAAAAATATGTTATATATTTATAAGTAAAAATATGAACGTAATATTTTTATAAATTAAGTGTTAAATAAAATGTGTATTATAATTTAAATATATGAATTTGATTTTAACTTATGATGATAAAAATATAAATATTACAATTTTATTTCTACAAATTCTGTAATAATTTCATATATTTAAGAGTTTATCATGTTTTATTCATCGATTAGTTATTTCGTTAATCTCATATATAACATAGAATACGCTATAATTTTAAAAAAATTATATCTATATATATAAATAGGATATGGAATATGTATTTATGTTTCAATATTATATAACAATTAATTTCTCCTAAGACATACTACAGTTTATCATTTTAATACATATTACATATATCTACATATATAATATATATATCATATACATATAATTATAAATGCATATTTCAGAAAAAGTTAGAGAATATATTTTAATATATATACACTATAAACCAAATAAAAAAATACTTAATATATAATACTTATATATTTTTTTATATTAATAATGATTTAATATATGTATCTTTATAATATACAAATTTATAACAAAATAACCACAATATATATCATATAATATAAATCATATCAAAGATTGAATTTATATAAACTCTTTGGGTTCTTGGCTCAAATATATATTATTATATTTTATAATTTATTCAAAAACCTTTTTTATTTCTTTTAGGATATTTTATTGATAATAATTACATTTATATAATATTATGAATAAAGTATGTAGAATTTTAAATAATATAATACTTAAAATATACATTCCATTCTATATGTAAAAAAGATTAAAGATATGTAAAAATTTCTGTATATGCAAAATACATAATAATATTTTTGTAATTCATATTATATATATAGATAGAATATTTTATTAAAATTTCAATAAACATCATATGTAAATGTAAGGGATAAATATTTAACAAGAAAAATAATAACATATTTTATTTTATTTTTTATAATAAATTCTAAAGGAATAAATTATTTATGTATTATAAAATATCGTATACATATAATATATAATAATTCAAAATTTTATTATTAATACGTCTACATAATTATTTGAAGTGGACTTTCAGTATAATTATACTGTGAAAAATGAGGACTATATAGAAAAAAATTTTATCAAGTGTATTATATTAGTATCAAAACCTGTTTTTAGAATATAGTTTATTATATTAGACTGTATATCATATATTATTTTATATATTACATAATAAATAATATATTAATAATATACTATACATTAAAATTGCAGCATGTCAAAGGCAGAAACATGAATATTCATTAATAGATATTTTATTCGATATTTTTACTAATATAAAATTATGTTTTAAAACATTATCTGATTAAATTTAAAAATTAAAATATATTTTTTATATTTATTAGGACATAATATTTGTTTTATTTTCAAATGATATAATTAAAATAATTATTCTTTATATAATTTTCTTATATTGTTCTATTTATACCTTAAAGGAAATGCTCTTTGAGTTTTATACATGTATTTGTAAAATTAGGTGGAATTATATAACATATAATACCTGCTATCACATGAGAAACTGTTAGATATATCTGATTGTTGTACTATACCCCTTTCTTTTGTATTGATATTTTGCCACTTCTCTATTATCTTTGTAATTGCACGACGAAAACGTGAGTCATACGGGGAAAACTATTTTCATATGTAAAAAAAAACATTATGTATAAAAAATATAATTTTTCATTAGTATTTTTTTTATATTTTCTATGTATTTTTGAAAATTATATTAATTTATAAATATAGATAAATACATCTTGATTAACGTTGTAAAGAATGAATAATAATGTGGGTATTAGCAATATTATAATAGTTGGAATTATAGTAGAAGCTGAAGTATTAGTTTTGCATCGGGGTACTTTAAGTGAAGCAGCGTTTATACTACCTTCGGTATTCGTTTCTATATTATACAAATGTATAAATTCTTCTAGTTCTTCACAAAACTGATGGTATACACTATACTTTCCGTTAGATTTTTTAATATCTAAGCATGCTTTCATATCAGCTATAGCTGTAATTTTTGCCAAATTGTCATCTTGAATGTATTTTCCCCTAGCATGTGCGACAATCTGGTCATCAAAAACATTCTTAAGTCTACCGATTAATGTTTGATAAAAACCTAATATACCATTTATATATTTTCTATTTAGAACATCTTTATATAACCAATAATTAAGGTATTTACACCCCAATTCACTAAATCTAGTTTTATCTTCATTTAATATAGATTTTAAGTAACAAAAAATTTGTGGGCATTTCCCTTTAAGAGGTGTTTTATTAGTACCACCGAAAATATCTGTATCAAAACTATCACATATATCGTCATTACTTGCTCGACCTGGGTTTTGTTCTTTACACTGATTCATTTTTTGTTCATATTCTCCAAATTTTCCTAATAAAACATACTATAAAAGCGAGTGTTGTAAAAATAATTATGTTTTCTTGAATAAAATATTATAAAAGAAATATAACCTGACATAAACAATATATTTATAGTGCAACGTATTTTATACTAATTAAAAAGTACAATTTTATTTCTCGTCATCTTTGTTATATTTACTTGCTTTCACGTAGAACTAAGGAGTATATTAAAAGGTTCAGTGCCTAGGTTTAGTGTTTATTTTTGTTTTATATAGTATGTTACATAAAATAGTATATAATTTTTGAAACATTCAGTAATTTACATGTATTATTTTACAATATAATTTATGTATGTGTAAATTATATAATATTTATCACTATTTACTATTATGTAATTATTCAATGTATATAATTATTAAATCCTTTTATTCTTAATTATTTGTATTCAATTTTGCATATATTTATTACGGATCTTTTGTTTTTATTGGAAATGTATACAATTGAAGAGTATTGATCAAAAAATATACATATATGTATAAAATATTTTAGAATATTGGGTTTGTAATAATATAATAGCTGATGATATTGTAATATTTGTATTATTTTTTATAATAATATATACATAAAATATAATGAAGTGAGCTTATTCCATAAATAATCAACATTAAAGGGCTAGGCATTATACATATATTCACATAATCTTATGTCTTTGAATTAAATACAAGTTATATGTTTTGATATATGTGTTTTATTTATGAATATAATAGTAAATGATAATTTTTTAGAATATTATTAATCATGTTATCGATAGTAAAATAAATTAATGTCTGAAAAAATTACTTTTATGAAGAATAAAAAAAGCTAAATATATGAATAAATTTATTTCAATTTATATAGAAATATGTAGAATATCACTTAATTAGTGTTTTTTTCTTATAAAACTTAAATTTTCCATAAAATTTTGGCTACCTTAATCTATATAAATACGTAATATGTACATTATCAATTTTTAGTCATAATATTTTATGGTGTAATTTATTTAAACATATTAATAGTAATATTATTTGAAAAAATATTTTCATTTTAGAATATAATAATTTGCATACAAGATTTATTACACATATTTTATAATGAGAATTAGATGTTTTATTAATATCTTACATTTTAAAAAATATATTTATAAATAAAAAATTTTCATGTTATTTAAAAAATAATAAATAATATATGAAAAAAAAAGGAGTATTAACAATTTAGTTCCATTCTATAAGATATTTTAATTGTTTTTTCTCACATATGACAATATAAAAGATGATTAATATTAATTATATATTGTTAAGGACAGTAGCACATATTTAGAATGGCTGATATTTCATAAGAATGAATTAAATTAGTATTTTATAACACGCGAATGCGTAATATCATTGCCTACAGAATTATTAAATTCTGTTGTTAGTTAAATAATTAAAATGAGAACAATCATATTATTCTGTTTTAGAGTACAAATTTTATGACTAGTAATGTATTACGTATAACAGATATATTTAAAATAATACTCAACAAAACATTATTAAAAATATAATAACATTTGCTCATAGGGAAGAAAACATATAAAAAATATAAAATATATATAAGATAACGAATTATTGTAAATAATTTCCTCTTTCTTATTTTGAATATGTATATTATTTATCACTTGATATTACATGTTACAATATTAGGCAATGATTTATATATTTCTATAATACTCTCGCATTATCTTATAATTCGAATAAAAAATTATAGGTACATAGATGTTATACTTTGAATACATATTATTTTATCCTCTAATAAGAAGACAGTTGTTTATAATACTTTTTTATATATGTATGATAAATAAATTTATATTTTTAATATATGAGCATAGATGTAATTTCATGAAGAAAAAATATATTCAATTAATTATTTAGAAATTTCTAAAAATTCTTATGAAATAATATAACCTGTGTTATAAAGAAATATAATATCTTAAAAAATATATTTTTACGTACATAAAAAAAAGTAAAAATTATATAAAAATATATTTCTTCTAAAATAATACATTTTTTATCATTAAACAAGAAATTTTCATACATAATTAAAAATAAATATATTAAATATCATTTTAATAAAAAAAATATTTTTAAAATGGT